TGTGGATTACATCTACCAAAACTGATACATTATTGGATTAAAGTCAAAGGATTAGCTGCACTTACACACCCACTATAAATTTTTTTTTACTTTACATTTAAGTAGCAAATTTCCCTCTTCCCATGTCAGTAAATTGTTCTTGCAAATATTAAGTCTTTTCATTTGATATAAATACATTTTTTAAAAGATTTATTTATTGGGCTTCCCTGGTGGTGCAAGGGGTTAAGACATAACCTATGAAGCTATCCACAGCCTCTGCAGCACGAGTTCAATCCCTGGCCAGGGAGCTACCCACATGGCACAGCAGACATCTCCTGTCTCGCCCATTGCTCCCCTTAGCAGTGTATTTCAGTCATTCTGACTGTTCTGCTCCACACTCTGTCTCTGGTGAATCCTCTCACCCACTGTACCTCTGGCCTGTATCCCAGTTCTTGTATGCATAAACCTTTTAAAAAATGATTTATGCAGGGCCTCCCCAGTGGCGCAGTGGTTGAGCGCTGGGTTGCGAGGCTGCCCACAGCCTCTGCAGCGCCGGTTTGGTCCCCGGCCGCTGGGAGAGGGTCCCACATGGCACACAGACCTCTTTTGCCGCCCGCTGCTCCTCTCAGCAGTGTACTTTGTCACTCTGCCTGCTCTGCTCTCTGCTCTGCTCTGGTGAATTCTCTCACCCTACTGTGCTTCTGACTGTACCCAGTGCTTGTATAAATAAATCTTTAAAAAATATGATTTATGCATACAAGAACTGGGGTGTAGACCAGAGGTGTGCAGGTGAGAGGATTCACCAGAGACAGAATGGGGAGAACAGGTGGATCTACTGAAATACACTGCTGATGGGAGCAGCGGGCGAATCAGGAATGGCCTGCTGTGCCATGTGGGGTAGCTCCCTGGCTGGGGATCGAACTCATGTTGCAGTGGCTGGTGATAGCTAGCGCTATGTCTTTTAACCCCTGCATCACCAGGGAGGCCCTAATTTTATATTTTAAACAAATCGGTCCAAAACTAACTTTTGGAAAGATTTTAAAATAAATCAGTTTTGAGAGATAATTAAATGTTTAGACAGAGTTTTACAAATTTCATCAATCATTTTTGTTAAAAAAAAAAAACCCCAATGCCATAAAGATGGAAATATTTCCAAATACCTACTATCAAAATGACTTCGAAATCTGGAGTTCTTTGAGAATGTACAGCCTATTTTAACTGATTTGTAAATGTACCCCTTCCCTTCAAATGACAGAAGATTAAATGTGGTTTTGGGCCAGTTGTGTTTCTTATTCTCATTTCCATACTGCCAGTTTTGCTGATTCTTAAAGAGTTCAACAAACCTCTATCATATGGTGAGCCATTTCACTACTTAACTATTTATCTAGAGAAATTGAGTGTGTGTTTGTATAAACATGGGCACATTTGCTGCAGTTTTGTGTTAGACAAACACTAGAACCCACCTGACTATTCATCAGCAGGTGATGTGATGAACTATAGTACACCCATGCAGCAGAGTAAGACTCAGCAATTAAGCTAAAATGAATTAAGCTGCATCATGCACCAATCTCAAAATAACTGAGCTGAGTTAAAGAAACCATGCCAAAATCATTCCACTTTCAATTCTGGAAACACAAACTAGAATCAGAAAAGTTTAAAACTAGATAAAACTACAGAGCTTGAAATTTTTTTAACTATATATTTTTAAATTTTTATGTAATTTATTTATATATATTTTACATCATTGTTCACTTTTGTACAGTTTGCTTTCTCCTCTCAGGTGTAGTCCCCATGAATTCCCACCACCAATTCACCCGTGAACCATTGCCAGAGTATGAAATTCTTAATCATGGGTTCAAGACCCATGGCAGGTGGACACATAATTATCAGTTGAGTAGAGGACAAGAGCAGGGGTTGATAAACATCAGTGAGATCAATAGAGGAGCTGGATGCACATATCATCTCCACTTAATGATACATAAACTGAGGGCTAGATGGAGCTGGTCCAAGTGTACTACTCACTTTTGCTGAAGGTCTGTCACCAAGCTCAATTTTCTTTCCAGTAGGCCAGTGGGGTTTCCCCCACAAATGCACATTAGAACTAGTAAGCTGGGGGGCTCTCAGGCCTCTTCATTTTCATTTCTTTGTCTGATTTTAATTTGGAGTGCTTTTTTTTTAAAAAGATTTATTTACGCATACAAGAGCTGGGGTACAGGCCAGAGGTGGGGGGCGGTGTGTGAGAGGATTCACCAGAGACAAAGTAGGGAACAGAACAGGCAGAGTGAGCAAAGCACACTGCTGAGGGGAGCAGCGGGGTGAGTCAGGAGAGGTCTGCTGCGGCATGTGGGTTGCTCCCTGGCTGGTCGGGAATCGAACTTGTGCTGCAGTGGCTGTGGACAGCCTCACAGATTGCATCTTAACACTTGCACCACCAGGGAGGCCCCTGGGGTGCCTTTTTAATTGAGGTCACATTGGTTTACAATACTGTATGATTTAGGGAAATAAGTTCACACCTCTTCTGCACTACCATTTCTTAAAAAGTTGCTCACGTGATTCTAATCTGCAGCTAGAGTTGAACACTGCTTAGACCATGTTCTGGCTGGCCAATCCTCATGGATTGGCCTGAAGCTAAACGTAGCTTCAGAATTTGCAAAGTATAATGAACCCTTGAGCAAAGTGGGGGTTAGGAGTGCTAACACCTCCAGATCTCAGCCATGCCCCATCCCCATAGTTACAACATGACATGATGTGCCAATCATAGTCTCAGCCCTCTGACTCCACAGATTCCACACACCTTGATTCAGTAGAATCCATGCATGTAGAATCTGGGAGATGAAGAGCCAACAGTATTTACTGAAAAATAAACAACCAAGAACTTTGCTAGTGAAACCCTTGTTGTTCGAGGGTAGAATGAACGCCAATCCAACTGGCACCCTCTGAGATGAATGTGTGTGTGTTGGGGGGAGACGGGGTGACATCCTTTTCTTCCAGATGGGTCACAAGATCCAGAAGTTATGACTAACAGCAGGAAAGCCTCCCTACACACTCAGCCCTCTGGCAATCAGCCACTGTTCTTTGGACTACAAGGAAGTCAGTCCCAAAATCACTTCTCCAAGACTCCAAGTCCATGTGAGTGCCTCACACTCACATGGACTGTTCTGAGATTTCCCACCCTGGCAACATAAACACATTTATAGACAGAAATCACTTAAAAGGTGTGATGGAGACGAGACAGGTGAGAGTTGGGGCCTCAGCAACATGTCTTCAGAGGGGATTTCAAAGTCAAGCCCAAGTTGAGTTCATGAGGCACTTTGCATCTAACTTTCTGGCTAGACTTGGGTGACAAATGGCCCACATCAGATCACGTTTGAGTGCTCACTGGCACACAGGCTATCAGAGTGAAGGATCCCTGTTAGAAAGAACTAGGTTGGCAGAGCTATTTTGTTATTGCAATTATCAGGGCAGCTATCATTTTTTTATCAATAATCAGAGAAAAGTAGTCACATTTCAGTGACTTGGTGTCATCGGTTGAAGGTGTAAAAACAATACCCCATACAGTTCATATACTAGGTGATCACACAACCACAACTTCATAAAAGATGAAGGCCCAGGGCAAGGAATCCAGAGTCTCTGGTGTGTTCCTGGCTAGCTTACTTGGAGGAGCATAAGATCTTCATCTTAGGATTGTGGATTTTACCTCCATATTAGATGGACAATTTTTCAGTAGCTGTGGAACATGGAAGCAGGGCGGGGGCCTAGGGGGAGGCCTAGAGAGTGTAGGAGGTTATGGAATGCATCTTGGCATCTGAAGCATTCTCATGAACTCTTTGTAGAGGAAGGTATGACAATAATGAAAATGGGGTTCTGGCCATGATCCCACTTGAAACAGATCCACTAATTCCATGATCCATCAGCACAATCATCTCCCCAAACATTGAACTTTGAGGTGGTAGCTCTTCCATTTTACTTTCTCAACATATAGTACAAGTCAAAAAGTGGAAAAAGTAAAGTGAAAGCACTGAAACCGGCCCTCCCCATTTGCCTCAGCCAAAATAACTAAAAAACAATATTGTGTAGAAGTACGGTAGAGATTAAATTTGCTCTTAAAGACCCAAAAGCTGCAGGTACAACTATCCCTATCATATTACTGTTTCATTCACTAGTCTGGTATCTACCAAACCAGGCAGGTCTTGGAGGATGATGCTGGAATACCACATGTGTGTGATAAACTCATTTACCCTCTATAATAACCCATGAAGTAATTAGTAGTAACACCCTTATTTTTGTAACTACTGAGATATCGCTAACGTGCCCACAAACCTGGCAGGGTGGCACATCAGGCTATAAAGAAAATGCAGTTCAAGATACTGGTGTAAATGCAGCTCAGGAGATTGAACCAGTTTACAATGTAGAATACACCTGAACTCCAGTTTTCTTGAGGAGATACTCAAGGGATTCAAGGAGATCTAAGAGTGTGATATTAAATGGTACTTATAATGCTGACACAAATATTAGCAAATATGTTCTAGTCAGATTAGAATGCAACAATAGACTGAGAGTGTAACAAGATCAGAAGACAGAAACTTAAATAAAAAAGGAGAAGGAACTGACTCAGGAAACATACTTTGCAAATTAAGGAGAAAGACAAAAAATGGCTCATGGAAAGTATAGGAAAAAAAGTTCAAGATGAAAAAACATTCTCTCACAAACTTCTTAGTGTAAACAAATGTGGATATGAACTACAATGGGTTGGAAGTTCTGAAACAGAGGGAATGGTTTCCATAAAACCAACCTCATTTCTTAGCCGGCCACACTAACCATCTTTCTGTTTCTTAAAAGCCAATGGCTTCAGAACATTTCCTTGCTCAAGCTCTGAATTTGAACCATGTCACCTCAAAAAAACCTGAAGGACACCAACCTAAATTGAAATGCCCCATCTCTGCATCTGGCTTGAGGGGTCTTTTGATTTGTAAAAAGACTGTAGAAATATGACAAAAATAAAGATAGAAATTGTCACAATAGACTTTTATATTTTATAGTACATCTGTTTAATTAAATTATGATTGTTGATACAATATCAGCTCAATAATTTTATTCAGATAATTAAAAACGAGGGTCTAACGATGGATTAAAGCTGGTTCAATCCCAACTTTACAATTTTTTATCAAGAGTGAAAATAGAATACTATTAAAAAATACCTAAAAAGATAGCATGTCATAGTGCTGAGAAGTTGGTAAGGCTTACATCTTAATCTGATGCAAAATTTGTAGTGGCACTGAAAGAGTTCCTCAGGCACACAGCAGGCACATTCTGGCACTAGGAATCTGGGAGGGAATGGTTATGGGTGCCACTTCTCGTCTTCAGCTGTGACTGTGCGATGTCAGCAAGTGCACTTTGTATCTTTTCCAGAAGCATGTCCCCTCGATAAACTACATCCTCCAAACATGCAGCAGCTTCGTGATTTTCTTCTTCTAGCTTGTACAAGCTAGCAGCCTTTATAAGACACAGATTTAAAAATCTTTTGAGAAATGTCAAACTTGGAGATTTGTAAGAGTTGAACAGAAACTGTAGTAGAAATCTTTGTTTTTAAGGCTAGATGACTATGCAACCATTGTTGATAGTGATAGATTTTTCAGTCAGATTTTGCAGAAATTCTAAAATTTGATAACCTTTAAGAGTTTTTCCCCATGTGAAATAGTTACAAGAATTAATTTTCCTTCATCTTTGGATGTTTACATGTGACTCACTTCCAAAGTGCTTTTTGGATACCACTACTCTACTCCACATACAGAATGCCACTCTCCTCTTGTTTCCTGCTAGGAAAAGAGCCAAACCGAGAATAATTTGTTATAACTTGAAATTAGACAACTCTCTCTCTCTCTACACAGATAGATGGTAGATAATAATCAATACAGTCTTCAACACACAACAGTATTTCACAATTAATACAACTCCCATTTTAAAATTTAATCTTAAAGTAAAGTAACTTTATTATAACAAAAGGCATCACATCTGCCTCTTTTATTATTACTTTTAAAAATTTATCCACTTTAATTCAAAGTTCTCTGCTGGCAAAGTTCTCAGAGGAAAGAGTTAATTACCTGTAAAGCAGCTGTAGATTCTTCACTGGGTAAGGAATCTATCAAAACATCAATGTCTTTTGCTGTTCGTGCAATCAAGGCTGCAAAGAGCTGGGCATACTCTAAAGAAAGATATTACTAATTTAGGGCATCTGAGAATCTCATGTTTTTAGAAACAGAAATTAAATTTTAAATTAATGAAACCAGAAAACTTTAAAGTTCTTTCTGTACTAGATGTCTAATAATTAAAGTATAATTTTAACACATCAATCCTATTACATGTTTGAGAAGTAGCCATCATATATCTCAAATTGGGAATTACACGTTTACCATTTCATTTACTAAGACAATATGGTGGACACTTGAATAAAGGAATGTGCAAATAGGATGTCTTTCTTATTAAGGCGTTTCAACTAAATTCATACAGAATCCCTTCTAAAGGAATGCCAATGTTATTTGACATAAATTTGACAGAATTATGAGGTGTCATATAAATCAACTTTAAGAAATTAATTTATTACAAACAAAACTTGTAGTAATAGCACAAAGTAATAGGGGTCAAAATAAGACAAACCAAGAAAATTGATTTACCTTCTGTAGGATTAGCTGGTTGATCTTTGTTAATTGCTGTCTGAATATTACTGAAAGAGGCAGGAGGACCACACTGCTGCAACACTCCAATAGCATTACAAAACTGATCTGCAAGCTTGAGGCCAAAAAAATGTATCAGAGTAAGAAAGGATTTAAGAATTTTAATGGCAAAAATCCAGTAAGTTTCTATAATAATATCTCTGAACAAGAGAATAAACAGAAAAGATTAATTTGGGATAAAATATGTAATTCATTATTAATGATTTAATGTTTTAACAATATAAAAGAAACCCAATAGGTTTGGTATCAGTCCAGTGAAACAATTTAAAATAAATACAAAATTATCTTTTTATTCCCAAGAATGATAAGAGAATATATGCTAGTATTTGCTGAAAGCACAAGTAAGTGGGGGGTGTTGGGCAATACAGGGAAGAGCATTTTTAGTGGTAATAAATATCTAAGCATGACTCCAGGTTAAAAAAGGTGTGATTCTTGTGAAAAATACATGTTCCTTTTTTTGAGAACAGAGTAGTTACAAGTAGAAAGAAACACTGGGTAAAAACTGAGACTACAGTGTTTAGAAATGGTTGAAGTTGCAGACTCCTGGTGCTCCCAATGCAATGCTGAAGCAGCTGAGAACACTGAGCAGATCAACTCCTCACCATCTCCAATCTTGAACACACCCATTCTCCCCACCAGCTTCTCTAGACAGTCCTGAGGTCTCTAAACCCAATTCCTTCTTTATCAGCGAATACATTTCTCTACCATTATTTGAATGACAGAACTCAAAGTCAACGGTTTCCTTTAACATCTAATTGTACTGAGAATCTTCTAACTAACCAGACTAACTTTAGACTCTCCTTTCATCTTCAAATTCTGTTAATCCTACACATCTTTCCCTTTTCCTCCCATCGTGACTGCACTTGTCTTAGTTCAACCAATTACCTCACATTACAACAGTTACTAGAAGCTCCTCATGGTTTTCTAGTTCACAATATTATCTTACCCTGCTTAAAAAATATGAGCTCACCCTGACGTGGTCTTCAAGATAAATTTCTAACTTTTCAGGCTGTTTCAAAGCTTTCTATAATCTAAGTCAACTCTACTTGTTTTTCTATTATGTCTTTCCATATATCTGACCAGTGATAAATTTCTGACTATACCGTTCTGTTCACATTTTGCTACTTGTGATGGAGCAATAGCTAGCTGCACAAATATGTATTCTAATTCTGGTTCTAGCAATTTAAGGGTTTTTTTTTTCCTTTCTCATTTTTTAAAAATTTAATTTAATTTTTTTATTTATACAAGCACTGGATATAGTCAGAAAGAATTCACCAGAGCCAGAGTGGGGAACAGAACAGGCAGACTGACGAAATACACTGCTGAGGGGAGCAACAGGTGCGGCAGGAGAGGTCTGTCACACCATGTGGGACCCTTGCGACAGCGGGGATCCAACTTTGCAGCTCAGCGCTCAACCGCTGTGCCACCAGGGGAGGCCCCTTTTAATTTTTTAAAAAAGATTTATTTATGCATACAAAAACTGGGGTACAGGCCAGAGGTGTATGTGTGGGGGGTGAGAGGATTCACCAGAGACTGAGTGGGGAGCAGAACAGGTAGATTGACTAAAATACACTGCTGAAGGGAGTAGTGGGCGATTCAGGAGAGTCTGCTGCACCATGCGGTTGGCTCCCTGGCCCGGGATTGAACTCATGCTGCAGCGGCTGCGGTCAGCTTCATAGGTTGTGTCTTAACCCCTTGCACCACCAGGGAGGCCCTCTTTTCTCATTTTTAACTTGGGAACATTCTCACATTACAGCATTGTTAAGGAATAGAGAAAATTTTTTAAAAATACGCAACAGAGTGGCTACGTGCTGTCCAAAAGCCCTCAAGATCCATTTATTTAACAAACATTTATTGAAAACCTACTCTAAGACAACTATTGTATGTAAGCCTTAGAGAGAAATAAAGAACAAGACATAGTTTCTGCCTTTATGGCGTTGTCAATGTTATATTAATAATTTCAAAAATAGTTACAATTCAGATAAAGGCTAAAAAGGTTCCTTCTAGATTACTCCACATTCCAATTTACTTCCGCACCAGTTCATTATAACGCCCTAACCACACACTGCTTCTGCAATCTTTAAATGTCTCTTGGGCATATGACACCTTTCTGGTACTCTTTATGGAGTACATCTCTTCTGTAAACATGACAGTATTTATGCACACAGCAGCCACTCTTACTAGTTAACCTATAGATTTCTCCTCCAAATCAATTATCAAAATGCCTAACTTAAGGCATGCTGTTATGTATGTTAAAGCTACACATATTCATTTTGTCCTTACTATCCTGGCTACAAGATATGTGTGACTATGCAGCATTTCCCTTAACGAACATTTCTTTCCAGCAGCATATAATAATAAAATTTGATTTTTCAAACCCCCAAAGATTATTTCCCTGAGGGAGCTGGCTGTCCACCCAGGCAAGTCACCATTGGGTAAAATTTATCTTGGTGAATTCATCAACATTGAGGGGCTGGCCCTCTCAGGCTGAAAGCCTCATTTTATGCACATGCCGAAATCAGTTTCTTACAAGTAGATTCACTCTCTTCAAGAACACCCAGACTGATTAATAAGTAGGTATGCCAACCAATTAGCCTCTAAAAGGGGGGGAGGGATGAAAACAACTGGCAAGGGATCAGGTGCTTACATTTTCCTCATTTTCTGTAGCATCTTAACTAGGGCATCAAATTATAAGTAGAATGACAATGAAACTCTAACTACCAACGAAAACTAACTCTTAATAGTAACAAGTATAAGAACCCTTTGGTTGACATATTCTTCCACTTAGCCATCATTGGAAAAATAAATCTATAGGATTAAAGAAAGAGAAGCTCCTTAGAGGACCTGAACCTTCACAGAGAGTGGTCTCTTGGGGAGACATTAAAGACCCACGAGGATGAGAAGATTCACGATCATAACTGATTTATGAGGCGTGGCCAAGAGGCGGAAAGAGATTCTGCAGGAAACCAAGTAGGCTGAAACAATACTTCTCACATCTAAGGACAGGAATCCCATCACCAAGAGGGGAGAGTCACCTCCTGGATGTAAACTCACTGGGGGTGGGGACGTTCCCCTTTTCCCCTTCTCCAACAGAAGAGGGCCCGCAAGCACCACGGACACCATCGCCCCCGCGCAGAGAGGGCACAGGCCCGCGACGCCCAGGGGTGCAAGCGGGGAGACCCCGCTTCTCAGGCTGCAGGCCGCGCTCCTCGGCACTTTCCGCCACATCCGGGTTCAGTCCGCTCCCCACTCCCGGGTTCTGTCTCTCAGCCCCCTTTCCGCCCTGGTTTTGCCTCAGAGAAAAGGAAGACAGAGTCTGGCGAGAGAAACCGCTCACCGAGTTCACCGCATCCTGCAGCTGCGTGAGCCGATCCGCCATGTTCCTTCAACAAGGGGAGGGACGTCGGGGCAGCTGCTTGTGCGCGATTGGGCAGCGCTGGTGCACATCCCAGCCAATCCTAGGGCCATTTTCCTGGAAGGGGTGGAGCCAGGCGGAGCTCCCGCCCCTCGAGAAGGGGGTGGGCGGGCCTTTCCGAAGCGTCCTTTTGGACTAGCTCCACCTTGGGGACTGTCTCAGGAACCACTTGTTTTGGGGGCTAACGGTAGTGCTTTGAGGTTTTCAGGTGTTAAAGTCTATATAGAGACTGTTGGATTCTGCGGTATTTAAAATCATGCCCCCCCACTTGAATTCGTTTTTATTGTTTTAAAGATTGATTTATTTATGCATACAAGAACTGGGGTACAGGCCAGAGATGCGGGGGTTGGGGAGAGAGAGGATTCACCAGAGACAGAGCGGGGAGCAGAACAGGCCGACTGACCGAAATACACTGCTGAGGGGAGCAGCGAGGGAGACAGGAGAGGTCTGCTGCGCCATGTGGGTCACCTCCCTGGCCAGGAATCGAACTTGCGCTGCAGTGGCTGCGAGCAGCTTCATAGGTTGCATGTCAACCCTTTGCACCACCAGGGATGCCCATGTATTCGTTTTTAAACTCGGTCTTGAAAACATCTTGTTTTGCTTCCCAGGTAGATGGTGCGGCACAGAAGTCTCAATACCAACTTTAACATCCACAGATTTAAATTAAAATTTAAGTGATGTAACAACGATAAACTGCAGCGATTCCATAGGTGTAAATCAATTGTATTTTTTTCAGAGACTATAGAGATTGATTTCATTCACTTAGTAAATGTCGCGTTAGCACATCTCACAACATAGTCCCTCACTTGGCGGATGTTGGGGGCGGGGAGGAGAGTGAATAAAATCAGAGAAAAAGGAAGAGGGAAAGTTTGAACGAAAAAACGTCACTTTATTTCAAGCCAAATTTAAACACATATGTTATTATTCCTATATCAAAAAGAACTGCTAAGCAAATAAATCTTTCCGGTTTCCTACTAAAGAGTCTTGGTGCAGTAAATAATTATTTACTGGCGCAGTAAATAATCCAATTGTAAATTGTAAATAACAAGTTTGCTTCCCTAATAAGCATACCTAAAGGAGGTGACATTCTAACATTGTAGGACCACTGGCCAGTTTGATTGATGTCCAACTGGCCAGGCTGATTGATCTCCCAGGCCAACCTCGGATATCTACAATTTTCCCCCTTTTGTCAAGAACCTTTGTGATCACTGACCGATGTTATCAATGTATGATGGTTATGTATAAAAGAGACCCTTTGTCTCTATGTGGGTGCTCAGACCTTACAGGACTGCCCAGGTCTGAGTCCTCATGCCTGTGTAATAAAGCTTCTCCTGACCGCACCATTCCTGAAGTACCGCTTATTCTTCCCCTGCCAGGGTAAAAGGCTAGAACTAATTCTGCAACATCAGCATCATAAATATTAAAATAGGAAATTCCTGGTGAACAGAATACAGGTGAACAGAAAAAAATCAAACTCTAGAAAAAATTTTTTTTAATTCACCAAGCAGCCCAGGACTACTGGGTTCTGTGCCTTCTGCGTTGCTTTGGTTTTGAAGGGGCAACTCCAATTGGACGCTGCTGTGTGCTCTAATTCTGAGTGTGGGCTTGCTGGTGAAGCTGAGAAAGGAGAGATGCAAGGGGAGCTTGGAGACGTTAGGCCGCAACAGACTCTAACCGTGGTTTTCGCAAAGGAGAAACAAAAAAGCGCAAGGGGTTGAGCACCGCACTATGAAGCAATAGCAGCCTCTGCAGCAGGAGTTCGACCCCCTGCCACCCAGGGAGCAACCCACGTGGCGCAGCAGACCTCTCCTGTCTTGGCACGGCTCCCCTCAGCAATGCATTTCAGTCAGTCTGCCTGTTCTGCTCCCCACTCTGTCTCTGGTGAATCCTCTCACCCCCTGCATCTCTGGCTTGTACCCCAGCTCTTGTGTGCATAAATAAATAAAATAATCCTTTTTTAAAAAAGGAAATAAAAAACCGAGAAGTACACGTTGCATCAGTGAACTAGCTAGAACGTCTAGGTGCCTGCGCTAGGGTGGGGCGGTGTAGGGAGGCCGGCCCCTCTGGACACGCCCCTCGCCCCGGACACGCCCCTCGCCCCGGACACGCCTTCCGCTCACCTGGTCACGCCCCCACGACCCGCGTGCTGACGTCAAGGGGCGTGGCGTGGCGTGCAGTCCTGACGCGAAAGGGGACCTGCCTTGGGGCTTGTTGAGCCGCTGGCTGGCAGGGGCGCGAGGCGTGCACCTGGTGGGCCATGGCGCGCGGGGCCGGGGCCCCAGGGTAGCGTTCTGGAGGTGGCGGGGTCCCGCGCGCACCCTCTCGGGCCCTGCAGTCGGGCGTGCGGGATCCCGGCCGCCATGGGGCGGCTCGGGCTCCTTGTCCTAGCGGTGCTGGCGTCGGAGCTGGGCATGGCTGGTGCCGCCGGGAACTCCAGCGAAGGTAAGGTCGGGGGCGGCTTAGTGCCGCGGCCCGGAGCGGCTTTCACATGTCTTGCAAGGGCAGAATCTACCCTGGGGTCTGTGCACCTAGAGTTCAGAAGCTTCTAGAGTGCGTCAGGGTCCTTTCCTGCAGAAGGAAATTCCCATCTCTCCGTCTCCTAATTCAGCAGGGGAAATGGGAAGAGATTAGTAACTCCTGGGCACACCCGTTACGGGCTCCCTTCGGGAGCAGCCATGTTAGTGGGTTTGATTTAACGCCCAGAGCATCCCTTTGCTGCCAAGTGGTGTGTGTGAGCCTCTGCGCAGCGAGGCTCTGGGCAGAACCCGGGGCTTTGGGATTTAGGGCCCTCCGGGCTGCAGCGGATGTTCATACTCCGAAATCCAAATACATTTCAAATTGTTACTGTTCTGCAGAGCTTGAGAGGAAAAGTGAACGTAGACTAGGACTTGACATCGTAGGTTATGAGCCTGGAGAATGGGTTTGAGCACTAGTTCGTGGTTTGTTACTGTCGAATTGTAAAAAGCATTAATTCTGTAGGCTGACGGTCATGTGTTTTTCCGTGAGCTTAAGCACATTCCTAGTTTTGTTTTACGCTTAAAAGACCAGATGCAGTTCTGAAACATAATATTTTCTGAATAATATGATTGTGCTCCTAAGTGCTTATCTTTGAAAAGCTTTTTGCAAACTGAACCGTAGAATCATTGACTTAAGGCTAAAGCTGAAAGGGCAGTTTTATGTTTACAGAAGAAAAAAAAAAAAAGGTCCTTGTTTATGGCCGGGCGCTTACAGTGGAGTTTGCCTGGTGCGTGCTTTCACAGCAGCGTTATCTAATCCTCTCTCTTATCAGATGGTTAGCTTCCTCATTTCACAGAGGAGGAAACTGAGGGCAAGATCATGCTTATTTCTAATTCTGTGTTTGAGCACTTAATATCTAGAAATTTTTACACAAAAGTCAATTTTTCTAATAATTTGAGAACGCAACTCAAATTACTAGTTTTCAGATACTGTTTCTTGACCGTGATTGTGCCCACCATAGATATGGTGGAATAAAAATTAAAAGGGGGGATTGCAACAGGGTGGTCCCCAGGAAAGGGGGAGGTTCCCTGCCCCACCCAAGGGAGGGTGGAGCTGAGCAGGGAGAGGAGAAGCTGGAGAAGAGACTGAGGAAGAAAGCAGGATGGAGCCAGGAGACCTGGAGGAGGTGCATGGAATCTAGAGACACGTAAAGAAACTGCGCTTGTCTTTTGGTCGTGGACTGGGTGACACAGATGTGGGTGAGACCTGTGGGGAGGTGACAATGGCAGCTTTTATCTTGATGTTGATTTTGCTCTTTTCCTTCCGGGCTTGTCCGGTTGTTTGTGACCCTTTTCTGTGGGTCCCCACTGGAAGATGCTTTAGACTTGTAGCAGGCTTTGGGGCCTTGTTCTGGGCCGATCCCATATGGATGGACTTTTACCCACGAGGGGACGGGTAACTTTGGGTGCTTCATTTAGAAACTAGACTCTTTGCCTTTCCTGTATTGTTTCCTAGTTTTATTAAAGATCCTTCCCATTAGTCTCATGTGTTTTGTGTTGATGCGGCGGATGGCCGAACCCATTTAGAATAGGCAGGTTTGCGGGGTTTGGGCTGCCCCTCTCCCTGTCCTATAACAATTGCAGCACTGCTATCTCCTCATTATTCTTTTTGCCTCGCTTTAGCAATCTTGTGCTGTATGGAAATGTGGGAACTTAATGCTCGTGATAGTAAAAACTGACATTCTCAACGTTTGTCAGGTTAAATGCATGAAGAAACTAAGAAAACCTTGGCTTAAGACTTGCAGGATCATCCTGCAAAATGGCTGAATTTCTATGGAAGGATTCTGATAACTACAAACGGAAGAAATCGAGCAACTGCTGTAATTTAGGAGGATTTACCCATCTTTAGCTAACTTGCATAATATTGAAGTGGTTTGAAAGCTCAGTGAATCTTGGAGGTTAGCTGACCCAGTTGCCGGAATGTCTGATGTGACCAGCAGGGATAGGAGAGAAATCTCACATGCAAACTGTTTTCCTTTGTCTTGGAGCCCCTGTTCTCTTTCCATCCTTGGCTATTTCAGATTTTTACTCACTAATTCACATGGAATTACATAGTTGAGTCCAGTGTCACTTAGGCCTGCTAAGGTGTGTGCCATTGATAGAGCTTTCAGTAAGAGAGCAGATCAAGAGTATGTGAAGAAATATGAAACACCTGTTTTTGCATTTCCTTTCAGCTCTTAGGGTAAGGAAAATGAATAAAAGACACATGAGAAACTAGCCGGTTGTTGGCAGACCTGCCCAAGCAACTGAGCTCTTCTTGTTTTCCTATTCCATCACACAAGCAATGGAGGCCCAATAATAAAAAGGAAGAGTTAGAACAGTGTAAGGTTGCAAGTTTAGGAACTCATTGGGAAGGGGGTGGGCAAGTATAGGGTTGGGCAGCTCTTTTAATGGAATTACTAGAAAGAAAAAGTGACTGTGTGGAAATGGAAGAAGGGCATGCAAATTAGAAAAAGAGACCCCTACTGTGTGTCAGAGCACAAAAAATATTTGTGTCAGAAAAGAGGAGAGAAGAGCAATAGCTTGTGTAAGACCTGGCTCCCTGTTAGCCATTTGCCCTGTAATCTTTTTGTTTTGTTTTGTTTTTTTAAGATTTATTTATTTATACAAGAACCGGGGTACAGGCCAGATGTGCGGGAGGGTGAGAGGATTCATCAGAGACAGAGCAGGGAACAGAACAGGCATACTGACGAAATACACTGCTGAGGAGAGCAATGGGCGAGACAGGAGAGGTCTGCTTCACCATGTGGGATTCTTGCCGGCCGGCCAGCGGGGATTGAACCCATACTGCAGAGGCTGCGGACAGCTTCACAGTGTGGCGCTCAACCTCCTGCGCAACCAGGGAGGCCCAAATTTTTTTTTTTTAAGGTTTATTTATTTATGCATACAAGAACTGGGGTACAGGCCAGAAGTATGGGGAGTGAGAGGATTCACCAGAGACAGCGTGGGGAACAGAACAGGCGGATTGATGAAGTACACTGCTGAGGGGAGCAGCGGGCCAGTCAGGAGAGGTCTGCTGTGTGCCATGTGGGTAGTTCCCTGGCTGGCCAGTGATCAAACTCGTGCTGCAGAGGCTGCAGACAGCTTCATAGGTTGCGTCTTAACCCCTTGTGCCACCAGGGAAGCCCTGCTCTGTAATCTCTTGATGTTCTTCCTGTTTCCCTCCTACTCCCCAAATCATAAGATCTCATTATGCCTCATAAAATATTTCTAAAGAATCCTTTTCCAAATGACTTAGAGGTGAAGTTAAGTTCCTGCTAACTTCTTCAAGATATATTTTGGATACAAGTCTTCTTTTGCCAGGTCTGTTTTTAGGAGTAGAACTTTGAAATGCAATTTCTGTCAGGCTGGACTGTTAAAAGTTGTCTTTTTAACTTTCAGTATTTTTCCTTCTCATTCTATAGAAACTTCTTTCCCACCTTGATACATACAGTGAATGTTCTGGGCATTTGTACTTGTTAGTCCTCTTCCTTCCTTCCACTCTTTTATTTGTAGGACTGTACTGAATATCTACCTGACTTCTTATTTTAATAAGAAGGTGAGACTGAAACCCTGGAAATTTCATGGAAGTTACTAGTGATACTTATTGTGTGTCATTGGACAGTTTACAGAGCTTTCCCCAGTTTGTTAGATACTTGGAGTACTTTGCAAACTAGTTCTTGCCACCCTACCAGGAAGGTACTAGGCCTAGAAGAAATCAGTGACTTGCCTGAAGACACAAAGTTCAACCGTCATTTGCTAAACATTCACCCTGAGTTAACTAGGTGATTGGCCCTGCGGTAGGAATGTCAGGGATCAGACCACAACTGGCTTGGTTGTAATCTTCTATGAATACTGTTCTATAAAAACTGTGAAATGGCGATTGGCCAGCCAGGGTATAACATTCACGAAGTATTGTCACACAGAAGTTAGGTTAATAGTAACTAAGAATGGCTCTCATTCATCTTCTTCATCAAGCATTGTGTTAGGAATTCTTAAACCTGGATATTAGAATAATCTTTAGAATTTTTTTAAAAGGCTTATTGGTGAAGAGACAGCTAGAGAGTGAAATTTAAAAAGAAAAGGTAATTTTGCAGTAGCCCCAAGGAACATTAAATAGTGATGACTATAATGGGATATGTAAAGGCCTCTACCGAGCAAACTATACAATGTTTTTATGATAAATTGAGAAACAATGTATTTCTATTTCTCTGGTCCTGTCTCTCCTGACTGTCTTTTTAAAGCCCTGAAAAGCTTTGGTTCTTCAAGTATATCTGATTGGTGGTTTATTTTCACTTCCATGTGGGAAGGTTAAGAAAACGGAAGGTTAAGCAAACTTTATGACCAAGAGTTAATGCGTTCATAACTTCCTTGTCTTCCAGGACTTTTTCATTCAAGGCCCATGGGATGGGACATTGACAAAAGTTTAGTTTCTAAGATGTACTGCAGGGCAAATCTAAGTGGTAATTGTCTTGGATAACCTTAGAATTTGCTTGTGCCATTTTTGACACGATACCTGGTAGGCAGAGTGAGTAGTCCAATAACACTTAAACATTTACGGAGTAGGAAGAATGGGGGGAAAGGAAACAACTTAAAAACTGAACAGGTAGGGCCTCCCCGGTGGCACAGCGGTTGAGCGCTGGGTTGCGAAGCTGCCCGCAGCCTCTGGGGCGCCGGTTCGATCCCCGGCTGCTCCCTGGCCACCGGAGAAGGGTCCCACATGGCATGCAGACCTCTCCTGCCGCCCGCTGCTCCCCTCAGCAGTGTACTTCGGTCCTTCTGCCTGCTCTGCTTCCCTAACTGGCTCTGGTGAATTCTCTCACCCTCCCGCGCTTCTGACTGTACCCAGTACTTGTATAAACAAAAAACAAACAAACAAATAAATAAATAAAAAACATGCCTCTATTAAAAAAAAAAAACAAAACTGAACAGGTAAACTAGAAAAGGCAGGAAACAAACTGTGCGCTTTGGAAAGCGAAGTATGGAAACCCCCTTAATTCCTGGGAAAACAAACTAATATTGCTCTTTGGCAGACTTTGTGGATATTTTTAAGGCTTGATTGGTGGAGGATTGATGGCGCAAAGTAAGGGACAATTCATGAAATGTTTTTAGTGCCATTTATGGAGAACTAGCAATAGTTTTATATATAATGTGGTTTCCAGTTCAAGATAATCTTGGTGGTGGGACAGTCTGAAAAATGAAAAAGTGTTTTTCTTCAAAATTCCCCACATTTTCCAGCTTCACTACCTGGATTCTATTAGCAATGCCCTAATATTCTCACCTCCATTCAGCTGGAGCTTTATTCCATATAGAATTAAAATGTCTTTCTGCTTACATAAATAGGAATGACACCATTTTCATTTAGAACTATTAAAATTTTCTCCGGATTTTTAGAAATCAAATTGTAACTACCAATAACTTTTTTTCTATCAATTTTACAATAAAAAATATTAAATGAAGATTAGATAATATAACTGGGGTTCTTATGAGGATTGCATTAGTACCTTCATGTATGTGATGTCTACAAGTTGATATTAGAGGATAATGGTTTTAATGAAACATTTCTCCTTTTGTAGGTATTCTTGAGTTTTCTGTGGGAAGATTTAGCTACTTCGAGCTCAGCAGGCCCTTTCCAAAGGAAGCTATTCTGCGTCATATTTCCAGCAATGTGACTTTTCTTATTTTCCAAATACATTCACAGTATCAGAATACAACCATTTCTTTTTCTAAGGTAAGTACAAAAAATTCCATATTTCTGGGTCTTGTATTTAGTATAAACATTGCAATTTGATGTCCCTTTATGCTTGAATTTATATCTTAAAGGAAAATTTTGTCAAGGTAATGGAGAGTAGCTAAGAGACTAGTGTTTTCGAGCCTTTCTTGAGCATGGTGACTTCTGGTTGAAGAGGGGGTGATAGGCTGCTGAGCTGTAGGGGAGAGCAGGGCGTCCTCTGCCTCCTTTTCTTATACTAATAGGTTGTTAATGGTTTTTACCAATTTAATAGCACTCCATCCTTGTTCTGCCATTTAGATGTTCAAGTTTACTAAGACCACTGTGGGATCAGCTTTTTCTTTGGAGTCTTAGGGAAACAAACACTCAGGTCCTCCACCCCTGTGCTGGACTTTAGCAGCTCATCATTGCTGGACCTCTTTCCCCACCCTCAGCTTGGGGAGATTTGCAAATGCTCTCTGGATTAGCTTAAGCTAAGAATCTGCCATTTATCTTAACCTTTTACAAATCTATTTATATGTAGCCTATATGACCCCACCCCCAGGCTAATAAATGTATTTTGCTTTGTATGAAGTAGTGCTTCTTTTATTTGTCCTCAGATGATCTTATAATATTTTGGAATTTGCTGTATATTGTATAGGCATCGGTCATATTATTGTCAAACTAAGCATTTTGTATTTATTTCTGTCTCCTGTCCCTACCATGGTTTTAAAATTCTGTGTGTGTGTGTGTGTCTGTGTCCATATCCATTTCATAGACTAGAAGTGAAAAGTCTGACCTTTTTGTCTAGGCTCTTTGCAGGCAGAGCAAAAAAGCAAAGCATGTTTAATCTCACAGCTATCTTCAAAGCAAGAAATATGCCCATTCCTCAGAGGAAGCCAAATATTTTCTGGCACAAAATTAAAAAAGAAACTTCTTTTTTAGGCTTTTACCCAGGAGACATGGGGAAATTGTGCATGGATTTCCTTGTTATTAATATCACAGCAAAGACGACATTCAAAGGAAGCGATAGAATGGAGAAAAAGTCGGGTATATTTATTGCTTTCTTATGCATAAGTCCAGTCATTCTTAAGCTCCTGGTGCCACAGACTTTGGGTCCACTGAAATCTCTGGACTCTATCCATGGATGCAGCTGTACTATTTCATGGGGACTTCTGGGGCCCCTGGGCAGGAACTCCTATATTTAATTTTACATCTGGAGAAACGGAACTTGGAGGAAGTGAAGGCAATGTAACTTCCGTGACAAGTGGCCTAGACCATGTCTTAGGTCTAAATTTTCATGCAGAAAGAATCTTAGTTATTAAACGTGGCACTTTGGGTTTTCTGGATCATCGGGACAGTTGATTCTTTTTGTTTTTTTTCTCATCCCTTATATCCACTTCTCCCTCTCCCCTCCCCCTTCCTCATAACCTCAGACCCCTCAAGGATGTTAATTGATGTTCACTGGTTTTTTGAAGTGTTCTACATTATTGAATTGTCTGCTATGTAAATGCATTTATCTTTATCATCCCAACTTACTTTGCTGCACATAAATTTTCTTATATTCTTTCCATTTTGTTGAAAATGTCTGCATTTCATCCTTTCTTATGGCTGTGTAATGTTCCATGGTGTGAGCAGACCACATTTTCTTGATCCAGTCCATTGCTGGACATTTAGGCTGTGTTCATGCCTTGGCTATTACAAGTAATGCTGCTGTGGACATTGAGGAACATGTGGGGTTTTGTGTTGATGATTTCATATTCTTTAGATAGATGCCCCAATATAGGATTGCTGGGTTATACAGTGTTTCCATTTTTAGTTTTTTTAAGGTAATTGCATATTGCTTTCTACAATGACTGCACCAGTTCACATTCAGTGTAATAGGGATCCTTTTTTCTAAATCCACAACACTTCTTATGGGAGGCATTTTTAATATGGGCCCTTCTCAGGGGTGTGGGATGATATATCTCACTGTGACTTTAATCTGCATCTCTTATTAGAAGCGACGATGAACATATTTTTACACGTCTTTTGGCCTTCTGGTGAATTGTCTGTTCATTTCTGCTGCCTGTTTATTAATCTGATTTTTTTTAATTGTTGAATTGTATGGGTTTTTTTTTTTTAAGATTTATTTATCCATACAAGAACTGGGGTACAGGCCAGCGGTGTGGGGGGGGTGAGAGGATTCACCAGAGACAGAGTGGAGAGCAGAACAGGCAGATATACTGAAATACACTGCTGAGGGGAGCAGTGGGGGAGACAGGAGAGGTCTGCTGCTCCACATGGGTCACCTCCCTGGCCGAGGATTGAACTTATGCTGCAGTGGCTGCGGATAGCTTCATAGTGCTGTGTCTTAAAACCTTGCGCCACCAACAAGGCCGCAGAATTGTATGTTTTTTAATCTATGTTGGATATTGATCCCTTATCAGTTATATATTGTGTAAATATTTTGTCCCTTTCAATAGAGTGTCATTTTAATCATCTTGTGTTTTCTTTTGCTGTGTAGCTTTTTATTTATTTTTTTTTTTTTAAAGAGTTGAGGACTTTTTTTTTTTTTTAAAGATTTATTTATTTATTTATACAAGCACTGGGTACAGTCAGAAGTGCGGGAGGGTGAGAGAATTCACCAGAGCCAGAGCGGGGAGCAGAGAGGCAGAAGGACCGAAGTACACTGCTGAGGGGAGCAGCGGGCGGCAGGAGAGGTCTGCGCGCCATGTGGGACCCTCCTCCGGTGGCTGGAGAGCAGCTGGGAATCAAACCAGCGCTGCAGAGGCTGCGGGCAGCTTGGCAACCCAGCGCTCAACTGCTGCGCCACTGGGAGGCCCTGCTGTGTAGCTTTTTAACTTGAAATAATCCCAACTGTTTATTTTTGTTTTCAGTTCCCTTGCCATAGCGGTCTTGTCACCCAAAATACCTTTATCGCTAATATCATGGAATATATTGCCAATTTTTTTTCTATGTGTTTTATTTTTGCAAGTCTTATATCTATGTCTGTAATCCATATGGAGTTTATTTTTGTGTATGGGATTAGTGAGTGATCCAGCTTCATTCTTCTGTATGTGGCTTTACAATTTTCCCAGCACCCAGATAGAATGTGGGTCATTCTCCCTTATGTTTGTTGAATTGAAACCCATCTCACCCTTTTTTTTTTTCCCATTTCCTTAGTTTAAAGAAGAAATTCTGAAACTTTAACTTTTTAAGCATTTCATTATTCCAAAATGTTTCCAAGTTTATGGGTTTAGGGATTGGGAGAGCAGAAGAGTATGAGAAAGGATTAGGAAGGGCAGGAAGTGGGGAGCAAGTGCCCGCAGTCTTGTTCGTGGTGATGGCTTCACAGGTCTCTACATATAGCAGAACTTAGCACATGGCACACTTAACTTGTAGTGTAACATATGCCAGGTAAGGCTCAGTTTTTAAAAATGATTTCTGAAAATTGAGCTCCTTGGGAGCAGGAACTAAGTGTTGGTCTGGGAGTCTTTATTATTTGACATAGGAAATGTTAATTTGGGGGGATTGAACAGTTTGGGAATCTCTTTGCACCCACCCACTATTCCTGATCAAAGAGCGTATATTTGAAATGTCCGTGTGTCGCGCACGCACACACACACAGAGAGGTGACAGAAACTCCAGTATCTAAGGGAGGGCTGTGTTTATTCCTTTTTGTTTGGGGAGATCCTTTAGGACATAGCATACAAGGTAAGTTCTGGAATTTAAATATTTTGCTTCCTATTCATGATGACTCTCTTTTTCTTTACTACAGACTCTCCTTCCCAACACTTCCAGCACAGGCACTGACAAAGGACTGGTTTTCATTCTTAGACCAGAGCAGAGTATGTGCACTTGGCATTTGGAGACTCTCGATGCTGAGCCTGTCCACAATTTAGCCATTGCACTGTCCTACTCAAAGAGAGGTAACCTTTCTGTCTTCAACTCCTTGTTACTCTCCATACGTGGGGCTTGTTCATGAAAATTTAGGGAAAGCTATTATCCTATTGACAGTGTTTATTACAAATATAGTTTATTGCATCAGAAAGGTTTTTACAGCAAGGAAGTCAGGGAATTGTTAGTATGGTAATTGAAAGTCCAGGTAGGAGCTAGGAGAATACATTTTTTGTTTGAAAAACATTGAAGGAGCCCATAGAGAAGCAGTAACAGAAAGGCAAGACACAGACCTTAATGCTTTAGTTGGTTACTCTAGGCAGAGGCAGCAGTAAGGTTCAGTCAAGAAGGTATGGAAAAAGAATGGAGTTTGGGGGGAATGGTGAGCAGTGGGGGAGACTGGCGCTGGAGCCCAAGTGCCTGTGCACACTTGGAGGTTTGCACTCTGTTGTGAAGTCGGCTCAGAGGATGCATAGGGAGTTGGTAAGCAGAGACATGAGGCCATAGATTTCATGTCTTAGAAAAATAACTAGAAGCTGTAGGGTGAGTAGATTGGAGAAGGCATTGCTGAGCTGGGACTTGGGGGGTGAAATGGGGATGGAGAAGAGGGGCTGGATTGGAACTGTTTTGAAACTGTTTTGACCAGTGTGTCCTGTGTGGGAAGCACAGGTTTCCATTAGGGGTCTTAGATCCCTGAATCCAATAAAAACCTCTCTCTCCTTAGAAAATACGCACACCCAGTATTTAGTATACAGTTTCAGGGTATACCTGGAGTTCCTCCTTGGAGCCCAGCTTATGAACCTCTGTCTCCTCTCACCTTTCTAAATCTAGAGCAGAGCTTGGCAAAGCACAGTCCCTGAGTCAAGCCCACTCACTGCCTGTCTTATACATCGAGTCTTATTAGAATCCAGCCATGCCTGTTCCTTTGTCTGTATTGTCATGTATTGTCCATGGCCTCCTCCCTGCCAGAGACCAGCAGGTCACCAACCTGAAACATTCCCTAGCTTGCCCTTTATAGGAAGGCTTTGCTGACCCCTCTTCCAGAGCCCTTCACCTCAGGGAACTTGACCACTTTTAACCTCAGTCCATGAGGTAGTATAAAACTAGAAGCTGTATATTTATATTTGTTAAACTTCTGTATGGGAAGGTCTTACATATACTCTGTGTTTCTGCATGCATTTTGAGTAGGTAAGAATTCTTTGCTGATTAACTTCCATATTTTTCATCCAGATCCTATCCCCGGAGGCTGCAATTTGGAGTTTGATTTAGATATTGATCCCAACATTTACCTGGAATATAATTTCTTTGAAACAACGATTAAATTTGCCCCAGCAAACCTAGGCTATGCGAGGTACGTCCATCTCCCACGCCCTCAACTTACTTTTAAGGCCAGCCTGACTAGCTGTTGTGCAGATTCAATGAACACTCTCGAAAACCTTAGTTCTTATTAGTAAAATTGAGTTCCTTTTTTTAAAAAAAAAAAAAAGATTTGTCTTATTTATTTATGCATACAAGAGCTGGAGTCTAGGCCAGAGGTGTAGAGGGTGAGAGGATTCACCAGAGACTAAGTGGGGAGCAAAACAGGTATATCCACTGAAATACACTGCTGAGGGCGAGACAGTGAAATACACTGCTGAGGGTGAGCAGCGGGCGAGACAGGAGAGGTCTGCTGCGCCATGTGAGTTAGATCCCTGGCTGGGGATCGAGCTCAGGCCACAGCGGTGATAGTATGCTAGCGCTGAGACTTAGCCCCTACGCCACCAGGTAGATCTCCTAATCATAATAGTCTTAGGAAGAAAAGGCATTCGTTCCTACCTTTAGGGAGGCTACCTGAAAGTTACCACAGTTAATGACTTGCCCATGTGCACCCAGCTAGCAATGGCAACACTGGTAGTGGACTTGAGGCCTGACTGACACAAGCACCTGGCTCTTTAACTATAGTGCCTCTCATTGGGTGACTTTTCTTGGCCGTGCATTAAGCTCTTGGTTCCTTTTGGACTTACTCCACCATTGATGCTTAGTTTTGTTGGTTGACTTTAGAGGCGCAGATCCTCCACTGTGTGACGTTGGGATGGGCCCGGACTCTCGGTGGAGGCTACGGTATGATGTCTTCCAATACTTTCTACCCGAGAAAGATCTCACACAGAAGGGCTTGCTACAACATCTGCAGAAGATGGCCACAGTGCCTGAGGTGACTGCCAGTGGTGTCAAGGTAAATCCAATTCTTGTGTGACCAGATTAGAGCCCCTTCTTAAGACCCGAGAAGGGGAGAAGCTCCCAGGAGCTAGTTCTTCACTGTACTCTTGTTCTTCCTGGGACCATCACTTACTCCCTTTCATTTTATTTTCATCTTGGGAGTCTTTTCTAGTGATAACTCAAGATGCTGTTGACCTTTGAGGAAATGTATGTCAGGTTTGTTACATTTTAGTCATAGTCGCTTACGTGATCAGCTGCTCTTGAGGTATGGATGGAAGCAGTGGTCATCTTTTATCTATTTCCATAACTTGTTAGATACAAGTTTTTGCAAAGGTTATGTTTTTGTTTTTAAAGATTTATTTATTTATTTATTTATACAAGCACTGGGTACAGTCAGAAGTGCGGGAGGGTGAGAGAATTCACCAGAGCCAGAGCGGGGAGCAGAGCAGGCAGAAGGACTGAAGTACACTGCTGAGGGGAGCAGCGGGCGGCAGGAGAGGTCTGCGCACCATGTGGGACCCTCCTCCGGTGGCTGGAGAGCAGCTGGGAATCAAACCAGCGCTGCAGAGGCTGCGGGCAGCTTGGCAACCCAGCGCTCAACCGCTGCACCACTGGGGAGGCCCACAAAGGTTATGTTTTGAGACAAGATAATGAGAAACTTTTTAAGGATAATCATATTGACATTAACATTTGTACTCTAACTCAAATTTTCTCTGAGCTTTTGAAACTGTAGAAATTCTTACTACTCTGCCTGTGGGCTCTGAGCCAGCAGCATTAGCATTGCCCGGGGCTTTGTCAGAGTTGCAGACTCTTAGGCGCCTCTCCAGACCTTCTGAATCAGAATTGGCATTTTATGAGATCCCCCAGGTGACTCCTATGCATGTTAAATTGTGACTCACTGCTACACATCCTTTTTTTGTGTGCGGAAGTAGGATGTTATCTTGTGTCTCAAAAGGCGCTGACAGCTATCTCATATGAGATGAAACTGTCCTGCAGGCAAGTGGTGGGGGAAAGGGTGGTGTGTCTGGACTGCTCTGACTCTTCTTGGGAGATCTCCAGATTATGTGGAAAGAAGCTGTTGGAGCAGGGTCTCTTGATGCTGCTAGGGGCATGGGCTGCCGCAGAGCAAGACATCGTTGTGTGGTGTCACCTAGCGTGGCACTGTGCCGTGTGGCGAGGGACCTCGGACCAGAAAGCTCAGTCTGATTGTTCATAACTTAGGAGGCTGATGGAAATATCTGTTGGTTACATTTTGGGGTAGGAAATTTTCAAGACCATTTTGACACTTGATCTTAGCCAAAAGGCCGGGAAGCGATTCAAGACCATTTTTATTCTCAGGAAGAATGTAAGAACTCCCTTCACAGGGCCTTCTTAGTTTACTGTTCAGCTTTTAGTTAAGTGTCAGAATGTGCCAGTAAGGCAAGACTCAGTGACCGAAGAGGCCAGGCCAAGGCGACCCTCAAGCGGGTTTGAAGGGGCTCGTACTGTCCAACTTTGGGGGAGTTCAGTGATCAGAAAGACTAACGATCAATGACAGTGTTGACTAAGTAGAAACATGACTATCCTGATACTGAAAAAAGAAAGAAAAAGGAAATTTCTCAGTTGTTGCCATTTGGAGAAGATTTTTACACCAAGTTACTTATGAAAATTGATAATTAAGATTGGATTGATTCTGCCTTTTGTGAAGGAGGTAGTGAGCCAAAATGTTTCCTTTTTTAATTAATTATTTTAAAAATATATATTTTACATCATTCTTCCTTTTTGTACAATATATGCTTCCTCCTCTTGATACCGGAATTGTCAGGCCTAGTCTCCCAGCCAGGAACAGATCCCAGGCTGCAGGGCAGCGCTGAGTCCCAGCCACTAGACCCCCACGGGTTGGTGTCTCACGAAGCCGCAGCAGGAACTTCGCAGACGCTCAGGCAAGCAAGCGAGAAGAGGCAGTTTGTTTATAAAAAGAAAAAGTTTATTGAGGAGAAAAAGAACAGAAATAAAGTGGGACTCCCAGGCCAGGGAACCAGGCCTGGGACGGGCAAGGAAGCCAAAGTGGAGTCGTGTCTCAGGGAATATATACCTTTTTTCCCTCATTATTCTAAAGCTCCACCAGTCTCTTTGTGATTGGTTGGTTCTCATCTGTCTCACTTAATTTGCTACTGAGTGGGGGATCTTCACATTCCTAATCCAACAGCTTTCTCTTTCCCCATTTGTTGCATCTTTAAATTTATGGCCCAGTCTTCTGGATGGGCATCCCTGCTTTGAAGTTAAACAGCTGCCCTTCTAATGTGTCCATAAATTAAACCACTCTCCATTTCTCCAATCTCCGCCTCCCTTTACCACCTGAAGGAAACCAGGACTAGCATTAACAATGTTGTCCTTGGTCCTGGGATGTTTGTTTTTCCTAGTGGAATGGGTTACTTTCCCTTGGTTGTCCTTATCTCTGAAGCCTCCCTAAATTCTTCAGAGGTCCCCTCCTGCACTGTCCCTAAAACTGCATAATTCCTAGCTTGCCCTGTGTCTCATTCTCAGGTGGAGTCCCTGTAAAATTCCACCACCAATTCACTGTGCACCATCACCATAGTCCCTTGTGCTCTTCCCTCCCTGTTTTGATCCCTTTCCTTCCCCCTCCCCTGCAGAATGTCTCTGATTTATAGTTGCCTGTTAATTTTGCCAAAACTCTTCTTTACAAAGGAAAGCAAACTATTAACTCTAGAAAGAACAATAGAAAGTCACCTCTTTTGTTGCTGTCAGTGAAATAATTCAGTTGATTTCTTATTTATTTATTTATTTATACAAGCACTGGGTACAGTCAGAAGTATGGGAGGGTGAGAGAATTCACCAGAGCCAGAGCGGGGAGCAGAGCAGGCAGAAGGACTGAAGTACACTGCTGAGGGGAGCAGCCGGCAGCAGGAGAGGTCTGTGCGCCATGCGGGACCCTCCCCAGGTGGCCGGGGAGCAGCTGGGGATCGAACCAGCCCTGCAGAGGCTGCGGGCAGCTTCCCAACCCAGCGCTCAACCGCTGCGCCACCGGGGAGGCCCAATTCAGTTGATTTCAAGTAACTAAATCATGTGAAAAATAGTTGAGGTCAGGATAGTACCTAGATGCCTAAATAGTACCCTTGGAGTAATTCTTTTTTTTTTTTCTTTTCTTTTTTTTTAAGATTTACTTACTTATGTATACAAGAGCTGGGGTGTAGGCCAGAGGGGTGGGGAGGTCAGTGAGGGAGATGAGAGGATTCAGCAGAGACAGTGGGGAGCAGAACAGGCAGATCCACTGAAATACACTGCTGAGGGGAGCAGTGGGTGAGATAGGAGAGGTCTGCTGCGCCATATGGGTCACCTCCTTGGCCAGCCAAAGTGCTGCAGTTGCTGGCGATAGCTTGATAGTGCTATCTTTAACCCCTGCGCCACCAGGGAGGCACCGCCTTGGAGTAATTCTAACTGCAAAAGTAAAATTGCTTTCAGAGTGGAGCTGTTCATGTTCTCCCCATTATACAGGTGACAAGTGAGTGTCTCCAATGGTGTGCAGGCCCATCATGCATGCCTGGGGATGCAGGCTGACCTGGTCATCATCACCTATGGGCTTTCATCTGAATTCAGTCCTCAGGAGTCCCTGTTCACAGGAAATACAGATTTAAATAGCATAATCTGACACGTTGTGAGATATTCTTATATTAAACAATTGCCCTTAGTCTCCTCTGAAGTGGGTGGGAGATCTTGCTGAGAAGGATTGTTCTGGAATACAGAGCTTGGAGATGAAGACCAGGATGGGACATGGTTGGACTTTAAGGGGGAGAAAGGCCATAAAAGACATTTGGAAGAATATGAATATGTGTATTGGGTAATAAGAAATTATTAACTTTCTTGGGTGAGCTAAGGTATCATGGGTAAGCAGAACATTCTACTCAGTGCCCTATGACTCAGTGTTTTAGGTAGGCACTCAGCTTTGGCATCCCCAGAGAACTTGCTAGAAAAGCAGAATCTCAACTGCCCTTTGAGCAACAGAATCGGAGTCTGAATTTCACCCAACTCCACCAGTGACTCATATGCACATGAAGTTTGTGAGGCACTGTCTTAGGACACATACATTGCACTGTTCAGAAGGGAAATGTCATGATACCTGTAACTTATTTAAAATTGTTCATCAGGAAAAAAAAAAAAAACAGAGATGGGAGTGAAAAGGAGGAAGGGATAGAAAAGCAAGTATAGTAAAATATTAACTGCTGTTAAATCTCAAGGGGTGGAATTTAGTCTACTTGTATTTTTATTTTGACATTTCTGTAAGGTTGACTGTTTGGTAATACAAACCTGGGAGAATAAGAGATAATGTTAGTATTTTATTGAACTTGGCCAATCCTTGGTCCAGAAAACATTTTTGAAGACTAAGTAATATATTTCTAGGTAGTAGAAGAGGCTTGTACTTATTTACTCTTGAAATGCTAATATTTAATTGAATTTTCTGTTAGTAGGAACACATCGATATATTAGGGCTATACAGGGCTTGTTTGTTCTGTTGTATGTATGACCCTTCTGAAAAATAATCTGGAAGAGGGAATTTTTGAAGTTAGGACTATTGCACAATACAACTTCATGTTTTCTTATTTTCTAAATAAGACAGAATGTGCAAGCACTCATGGGATGTTCCCAGTCTTGGTTGGCTAACCGTCCAGCTAGCAGTAATAGCTAATACTTGTTGGCCAGCTACTTTGGGACAGGCATGGTGCTAAGTACCAGAAAAGTAGTGATCCGTATAAATATTGCATCTGCTCTCATCTAGCAGATGAGAAAAGATGTTTCGCTTTGTCCTGACTAGCCTTTACACATTATTTTTTTTAACAATCATTTCAGTTATTAATGTTTAATACTCTAAAAGAACTTTAGAAGCAATTTGTGTAAGAGCTTGTTGCACATACAAGCTATAGGATGATCTTTTGACAAAGTCAAATGGGTTGGTGTATCTTTGAAGTAAGAATTATAATTTGAGTATTTCAATTTAAGACACATGGAGGTGGGATATGATAGAATAGCTTATTTGTTTCTTAAAAATCTAAACACTAATTATCCATTATTTTTGGCTTCAGGTGGCTACCCTAACAGCTAATGACAAGACAAGTGTTTCCTTCTCTTCCCTGCGGGGCCAAGGTGTCATTTATAATGTCATAGTCTGGGACCCACTTCTCAATACATCTGCTGCTTACATTCCTGCACACACATATGCCTGCAGTTTTGTGACATCAGAGGGTAACTGTTCTTCCCTTGGTGAGTATGTGGATTTGAACTTTGAAAAATTCTTCTTTGGCTTTGCAGATCTACATCAACTAATACGAATTTAAGAGTATTAAAATATGCGTTAGTCCAGTCTGAATTCATTCATTCAACCAATGCCTTTGGAGCAGTTCCTGTTCCACCACTGAGACAGTGAAAACTTACAGAGGAAATACCTGCCCTCCTGGAGCTTAGGTTTTAGTAGGGGAGATGAGACAGACAAGAAAAGCACATGTATCTAACTGATATGTCTTTCCCGGAACAGTTCCTCCTCCTGCTTTCTTTCAGTCTCCCCTTTGTCCTCACTGTCCCCCAAGTTACTGCATGTTTTGTCTCTGGGTTATGTGTCACGTGGACGCTGCCCTAGTCTCTGGTGTTCCTTGCAAAGTGTTTTCTCCTGAAGCTTCTTAATCCCTAGATAGGGGATTCTGTGTGGTTCTTCTGTGCAGTGGCATGTCCTGCCCATGGTGACCTGCACATGTCACTTTGTATCGTGTTGGGTCACCTTGCTGTCTCTGTGATGGTACTTGATAAAAGTTTACACTTGATCTTCTTTTGAAACAGTTATCATGGAACAGCAAGTTACCACAGGCCTGAACTCAGCAGAAAGTGGCATTTTATTTTTGGTTTCATCACTCTGTTGGCTCCTCATTCTTACAAGCATTGATATGTTAGCCTGTATTATACCTTGCACATTCTGGCCTTCTGGCCTATGTTCCTTACTGAAAGGCAGGTTTTCCTGGACTCTGTATCTGAGAGCTGAAGTAACTTATGTATTTAGATGTATAGGTTTATAACTTTGCACGTGAAATTATATAGGTTTTTCGTTTTTAGTTCACATATTATTTTGTGTTTATCTCGCATCAGTCGTGATGGTAGTGAATTCAGTGAGTATATTTTACTTTTCAGAATGCTGTATCTCTATATATTTAAGCTTGTGGCAAAACACAGGATTTGGATTCTTTGACTCATGAGGCATATTGTGCTTTATTGTTCATTGTAACACTGTACTTTTCCCCACAGCAATATATAATGGATAAGATATGTAGTAATTTGTTTGATTTATAGTGTAATACATTCTCTTTTACTTTAATATGTGTATGTATATTTAATTTTATCATGGAAAATTTTACTGACCCTCCATATACCAATTATTCAACCTTAATATTGATTCATAGTCATTGTCTTAAACATATACTTTGTTGTCTTTACCTCCTTGCCCTCCTTTTTCACTGTATTCTTTCAAAGCAAATCCCTGACAGTCATTTTGTTCCCAGAAATTCAATGTGTTTATCTTAAAGAGAAGCCCTGTTTTAAAAAACTTAAATAAGGGACCAGGAAAATGAATAACTATAAGAAAGTGAAAATCAAAATCAACAAAAAACTATGAACCAGAGACACTTTTTGGGGGTGGGGGGTGGGAGGGGAGGGATTGGGGTCAAAATGGGGGGGTTGCAATTGTATGGGGAATATAAAAATAAAATTTATTATTAAAAAAAAATAAAATACAAAAAAAAAAAAATGTAACTGGGGCCTCCCTGGTGGTGCAGGGGTTAAAGTCTCAGTGCTATCAAGCTATCACCAGACACTGTGGGACGAGTTTGAGCCCCGGCCAGGGAGCTGACCCACATGGGGCGGCAGACCTGTCTTATCTCGCCCGCTGCCCCCCTCAGCAGTGTATTTCAGTAGATCCACCTGTTCTGTTCCCCACTTGGTCTCTGGTGAATCCTCTCACTCTCTATACTTCTGTCCTTCACCTTAGTTCTTCTGTGCATAATAAATAAAATAAATATTAAAAAATATATATATAACCATGGTATCATTAACACAGATTTCAATTAAAAATACTAGCATTCCTTACTGGCATCAGATCAAAATATGGTCTTACATTTCCCTGTCATCATCCCAATTGTTTTTCCTTTTCTTTTGGTTTCAGTCAGGCTTCAAATGAGGTTTGTATATATGGTTTTTAGTTGGTGTGTTTCTCTTCAATCTATTTTTTTGTTAAAATTCATTTTTTGGGTTTTTTTTAAGATTTATTTATTTATTTATACAAGCACTGGGTACAGTCAGAAGCGCTGGAAGGTGAAAGAACTCACCAGAGCCAGAGCGGGGAATAGAACAGGCAGACTGAAACACACTGCTGAGGGGAGCAGCGGGCTAGACAAGAGAGGTCTGTCGCACCATGTGGAACCCTTGCCGGCGACCGGGGATCGAACAGGTGCTGCAGAGGCTGCAGGCAGCTTCACAGCCCAGCATTCAACTGCTGCGCCATCAGGGGAGGCCCGTTAAATTTCTTAATCCATAGTTCCCCCACCCTTTGCTCCCTTTTTTTTCTTGCAGTCTATTTTGTGAAGAAACAGAAAGGTTTTAGACACACATGCTCTCCTCTTTCCCACTTCCTCTCCCCAGTACCTGTCACAGCATAGCTTCTTATCTTTCTCAGGAAGCACATACCCTCTGTTTTCTGTTTTTGCTATAGCAGCAGCCATTGATATTCCTATTCCTATCGGTCAGGGTGTTTAAAAAATAAATTTGTGATGTCCTTGTGTGGAACAAATCAGTCAGTTCATTTTGCATTTGTCATGTAACTGTATTGTATTAAATATACAGCCTCAAGATGGATGTATTAGCCACTGTCTTTTTGTTACTTTTAGGAAGAGTATCTACCAAAGTATTGTTCACTCTTTTTGCCCTCCTTGGTCTGTTCATCTGTTTCTTTGGACACAGATTCTGGAAAACAGGTAATATGTCTGGTGTGGTTGCTGGTCACTCACTTTGTGGTCTTCTTTCTTAAATGCTGCTGGGGAACTTCTTACCTGTAAGGAGTGTGTAAGGAATAAGCAGTTGCTTATTCCATTCTTTTTACAGATTTGTGGCTAGGTTCTTTCAGTAAAGATTCTGCTGAGTCTCTCTGCATTTTAATTTTTTCTTTTCTCTCCATAGGGTAAACTCCGCTTATTAAAAGGGAGTAAAGTTAGGTGGGTGCAGCAGATTCTTGATTGCTACATGTGCTAGTTGACTTAAGGTCACTCAGCTTAGAAATCAGAACATCTGTGTGACTAGCATGTAAATTTTGGTGATGGCGATTGGTGTGCTTTTACATAAACCAGGCTGCAGATGTCTGTACAGGCAGCTTGAAATGTCTGCTTAGTCATAGGAGTTCCCACGTAAAACAGGAACCCACAATCCCACTGTATGGAACTTGGGGAGCAGAGAATAAATTATGCTCTCTGAATTGATTTGATTTGTTTGTGCTGCCTTTTAGATTATTAATGTTTGCAATTACTAAAAATATCCTTTTTAATTCATTAACCAGAAGCATCAAGGAAGAGTGAACTAGTCCTCATCTCGCAAAACCCTGTAAACTTGCTTTAATAAAATGGTGTAGCAGCACCTTTCCTCCTTTCTCTCCATTACTACTCTTTTTTTCTTGGTTAATTGAGAAGGAAATATTGTAAAGAATATTTATTTCCTCAAAATCTAGAATGATTCTACAATAAAGGACTTAATTGCTAAACTGTGGGCAATGGATGAAGACAGTGGTGATTGTTTATCCCAAATAGGAAAGAATGAATTAAAAGAAGATTCTGTAGTCATGTCACATTTTGCTTGGAATATTATATACATAATTTTATATTTTATATATATCTGTGTATGTATTTGTGTATATGTATATATTTTAATCTTAAAGTTCCTTGGATTTTAACAAATGAATACACTAGTGGAAATACAACTCAATTCAAAACACTTGAATTGCATTGTGGTATCTCTGCAACATTCTCTGTTGCAGAAGCCGTCCTCAATCTTGATACATGTTCAAAAGTTGTTTTACTCTAACAAATTGGAGTTTAGTGTGTAATTTCAGCTCACATGCAATGACAAAAGTACTAGTCTCCTTTTAAGTAGGAAGAATAAATGTATTAGGACGATTTTTGAAGTTAACAGTAACTTTTGTAACAATTGAAATTCACCCCATACAAGAAAATGTAGTCTATCAATCCTTTAATATTGTATTCTTTTAAATAATTTTCTTCTCCAAATGCCCTAATGTGTATAACCTGGGAGCTTAAGCATATAACTATTTAAATTGCATTGTAAAAAAGAATACCTGACTATGGCTTGTGTTTGCTTCCCTCCTGCTCCTGGTGGTTTGCTGCTAGAATTATTTTTTATGGGCTTTATCATCGTGGGAGTCTTCTTTTATATCCTGATTACAAGACTGACCCCTATTGAATATGATGGTAAGTGGAAACAGTGTTGTTTGGGTGTTCAGAAAGGAAGATGCACCTCTCTTTCTGTCCATTTGGGATCATGTAATGTCCTATCATGTGGGCAGAATAACAGGCCACCTATGAACTAAGCATCTTTTCTAAACTGCTTATTCAGACTGTTTGTGTTGTTGGCTGAGCACTAGCCAGATGACCAGACCAAGTGGGTAGAGTATTTAGTTACTTGAATAAGAGATGAAGGCATCTCTCCCACAGTAGTGTCCTCCCTTCCTAAAGGGATTCGCATTGATAGGAATCTTGGTATGTTGACAAAATCATGGCCATTCCAGTACAGTATAGCTTCATGGCCAGATTATTATCAGAATCTGTCTTCTTGAGTTCTCTGAAAACAGAAATAAAAGAGAATCTAATCCTGCATATACCAAGCAAGGATTTACTCAAGCTGGTGCAACTCAGCATATGGGAATCAGCATCAGGGAGGGTCTACAGGCTGCTCCCAGAGAAAAGGTTGGAGGCTCCATCTAAGCAGTTTGAACCCAGCATTATTAAGGGGCTGGGTCCTTTCTTGACTCTTTTTTCCATGAGGTCATTCCATCTCTAAAGTCTGATCTCATGCCTGTGACCTCTTGCTGTGACATAATGGATCCTATATCATTAGCTTAGAGGATGGTTTACTTAGAGGGTTTATTAGTGGTGAAAACTTGATTTCATCTAGAGTGAGTGTGGGGGGTGGGGTGGGATTCCTTCTTAGAGACAGGGACAGTCACTATCAGCGTGTGGGTACATGACCTGCCTTGAATCTTCAGTGCAGAAGCTGTTGCTTTCTCCTTTATGGCCTTTTCTCCTTGGACGGCCTCAGCCTGAGTTCATGTTCATCATGGAGTTTCTCACAACTTGCAGGGACCCTGTCTCCTGCCTAACACAAGATCATGCCTAGACAGGGGTCTTATGGCCGAGCACCCCCGTGGTGGGGATTTTATTATGTCAGTGTTGTTCATGGACTAGAGGTAAGGTTAGCTTAGGGTGCGTCCTCTCTCTGCATATTCGTTGGATTGAGAGTCTGACTGTTAATCAGATAACTCTGAACTAGCTCTCAGGGTCTCTCCTGGTGATGCAAGTTTGCTTTGTAAGCCTTCTGGGTAACAAGTCCTCCTCTGGGTTTTACTTTGCATGGTGAGTTGCTTGGTGCTTAGGGAAATGAGATGCCACTTTAATGATAAACCTGTGTTCCCCTAGGTGATAGATTGAAGATAGGACACTTACACAAATCAAAATGTTAAGATTTTTCTTTACCTTTAAAACAGTTGCTGCTTTGTCACTTTTTTATTTTTTTTTAAAGATTTATTTATTTATGCATACAAGAGCTGAGGTACAGGCCAGAGATGTGGAGGTGGAGGGTGAGAGTGTTCACCAGAGACAGAGCAGGGAGCAGAACAGGCAGACGGACTGAAAGCACTCTTGAGGGGAGCAGCCGGTAAGACAGGAGAGGTCTGCTGCACCATGCAGGTGTCTCCCTGGCTAGGCTAGGATCCAACTTATGCTGCAGAGGCTGCGGATTGCTTCATAGTGCAGTGCTTAACCCCTTGCGCCACCAGGGAGACCCCTGCTTTGTCACTTTTAACAGAATGTTGTTACTTCTTCCTCATGCCCAGCTTAGAGGTCATGCCAAGTGTCAGGAAGCAAATAAAATCATCCTCATCCCATGCCTTTTGGATATAGCTAGGCTCACAGATAATCAAATGAGCATCAGACAGATTGATAAGAGAAAAAGCCATAGAGACGTTTAATAATAACTGGGGTGCCTCCTGTAGACACATGATACCCCGGGGGAATGAGTCCCTCTCCATGTGGCTTTAAGTGCCATCTTAAATAGCTTGGCTGAGATTGGGGAGGTTAGGGAAGGGGGGGGTCATTCAGGGTGTATACTGGAAAAATCAAATGTACTCCTGCCTTTCCCTTGGCCAAGAGACAAGGATTTGGCCTTTCTGGTCTAGACTTCCAGAGAGCAGTGTTAGAGACAAGCTTCAAAAGTAGCCTCCACTCAACCTCGAGACGCCCTCCCTGAAATTTTCTCTTACCAGATAAGTTTTGGGGTGGCAGACTTTTGCTCCCTTCCTCAAGTCACGCCTTCACTAGTCCCAGGGAGGGTCTCTTGGTCTTCATGAGTCAGACATGGTCCCTCCCTGGAGCGGGCCTCTCCAGCAGTTTCCCACCACCCCCATAGCCCATGCCTGGCCAGCAGCAAGGCCTGGCGGGCTGTGCTCACTGTGCTGTCTCTGGCTGCACCTAATGACAGGCCACCTTCTCTTCTCCCTCGTGCAGTTCGTCTGATCCTGACGGCAGTGGCTGGCAGCATTGGTGGGATTTGCCTGGTGGCTGCCTGGTGGCGATTTGGGATCCTCCTGCCCTGCATGCTATGTGTGGGCCTAGTGCTGGGCTCCCTGACGTCCTCGGTGACCTTCTTCACTCCACTGGGTATGGCCACTCCCATGTGTGTGTTGGGTTCGTTGTTTTAAAAAGACCTTGTTTGGGCTCTTTGGGTACAAAGGCTGCCTCGTAGGGATTTGGGTGGTGGGGTGGTGCTGTGTTCCTGCCTTCTGTACAGAGTTGTGCACTGAGGATGTGGCCTTGTTGGGCAGGGCCATGCAGATAAGAGTCCCTGTGCCCCAAGATGGTAGACTGTCTCTAGAGGTAGCTTTCTGTTGTTTCTTGTGGTGTGCGGGGGTGTGTGTGTGTGTGTGTGTGTGTGTGGGTGTGTGTGTGTGTGTGTGTGTGTGTGTGTACTGAAGGAAGAAAAGTGGATTCCGAATCATTCCAGAACAGGAGTTCTGTGTTCAGGTGGATCTTAAGCAGAAACTCATTACATCCCACAGATAATTCTGTCACTGCTGTGATGGCAACAGAGCTGGGGGACCTCTGCTTCATTCCTGGTCTCTCATGTACTCCTCATTTCCACTCCCAGCCCAGCCTGAACACCTGTGTCCCTCAGTACCTACAGTAGTCACCCTCAGCCAGTACACGGGATGGTTCTGGGGATGTTTTAGTAAGCAGTTCTGTTTCTTTTTTTTTTTAGCAGTTCTGTTTCTGATTAACTTGCTGTGCACTTACGAAGTTAACTTGCTGGTTGTTGCCAGAAATACAAAAAAAAAAAAAAAAAAAAAAAGGAGTATCTACATTTCAGGGCACTCTTCTGAGGTCTTATAGTGATATCATTAGTTCTTAAACTAGACTGTTAGATTAAATGGATGCAGGTGGTAGATACAGAAGAGCCTATCAGTGCCAGAACGCGCAGGATATAACAGTCACTGATGCTAAAAATTTGAGACCACAGGATCACCCGTAGCTCACTGACCATGCCCAGACCCGTGGTTCTGACTTCAGCAAAGCTATGGCCAAGCTGGGTCCCACTGGCCCTGGGGTTGCCAAGCTATGTTAAGACTTGTTTAGACTCCTGGTCTTAGTCTGGAAGTGCTAAGTCAGATGTTACTCCTCTCATGTTAATACATAGAGAATAGAATGATGATAGGTTAGAATTTTTAATAAAGGTGCCTTTGATGAATAGATTGTGCATAAATTATGAAGTGAGACAAAAAATAAAGAGATCTGTGTATTCTGGCTTTCACTAGTACCCTCATTAGCTTAGCACCTCAGACAAAGTACTGAAGCTGTTTCATCATCTGTAAAACTCATAGGGCGGAAGGTAGGAGAAAAAGAGATGAAGAGAAAGCCTTCGTAATTTCCACCTTCTTAAAAGCCTAGACCATTTGTCTAAATGTGACAAACTACTCCTGCTGGTAAGAATAACTTAGTATATTCCCTTTATATGTCCATTTGCTTAATGTTAACAAAAATTCAACTGAGTTAATGTTAGAGATCAGTTGTATTTTATGAAGCTATTTATGAATTGGGCCACCATCCCATCTAGGAAGTGGAAAGGTCTTTGTAGGTAGAAGGGCAAGAGAAGGAAAGGGGGAGTTATTTTTAGCTTGGTTCACCTCCATGTGGGGGATGGAGAAGGGTCTTAAGGCATGTTACTGCCTTTGGGGAATGGAAAAGATGACCTAGTTGGTGCTGACCAGGTGGATTTCCTTGCTGGAGGAGGCTGAAACCACACGGGACTGAAGCTGCAGTTAGGTTAGGCGTTCCTGTTTGGTGGGTTTCACACAAGTGCCTCCATTTTACATTATCCTATGAATCAGGATAGTCAGGGTGAGTGTCTCCTGAAGGATGGTGGATGCAAATCCTTGTTATTAAGCAGTAAAATAGGAAAAATATTTGACCGGTCTCCAATACAATTAAGTAAGTACTGTTTCACGCTATTATGTGGCTGGCAGAGAGCTTACATCCTAAAAGGGCCAGTCTCCCATGCCTGCACTGTAACTACTATTTCCAATCCTGGGTTCTTTAAAGTTATTTTTTAAAGCCACTGGTGTATTTTTGACAATATCATTAAAACTAGAGAATTTGCTCCATAAATCCCCTGACTGGCAGCTTGTTACAATTCACATTCAGAGAAAATGGGGTCATTCAGAAGATCCTCTGACTACAAACCTCCCACTGAGTCCAGGACTTAGGGGGTCTTAAGATAGAGGACTGAATGATGGTATCAATATTAAATAATTGTCAGGCTTATGTTCTGCTATTTAAACTCAGTTTCTAAATTGGAGTTCTATTTGTCCTGGGCCACCCCAGGAAATGCCAAACTCAAGTGTCCAGCACCAGCAGAAAGGTTTGGTGTGAGCAGGTAAGAGCATTCCTGTCTTTCCTGGTGCAGGAGGCGGTCCTGTCCCTCCCATGGCCAGTGATGGGCTGAGGTCAACATCTACTAGATGATTCTCGCTGTTTATATTGGTGGGAGTTCAGAGGTTAACTGTGAATGCCATTTACTTGTGTGTTTTTTTTGCAGTACAAAATCATAGAATTATGGAAATCTAGTGCTAGAAAGGGTAATGTGGAGCTTGCAGGGTTGTGGTTTCATCTCATTTATCGATTAAAAAACTCAACCAAGGGTTACAGAGCTAGTGCATAATGGAAGCACCTGGATGAGTCCAGCTTCTTCCAAATTATCCTGGTAATAAATGAAAAGCACTTACTTACTGGATTTCCTTCCCAGCCCCACTAAATTCTATGACACACCGTTCAAAGGGGATCATATTGACAGGTGAAAAAAGTGAAAATTCATTTCTATTTGCCAGTATGTTCCCTGGTTGTTACCTTAAACCTTGGATGTGTGTCTGTGTTCAGATCTCGAGAAAATGAAACTTAGCTTTGTAAATCTGCTGTTTACTCTGGATTTCTTTTTGCCTTTCCAGGAAACCTGAAGATTTTTCATGATGACAGCGTCTTCTGGGTGACCTTCTCTTGTATAGCTGTCCTCATTCCTGTAGTTTTTATGGGCTGCCTGAGAGTAGTAAGTGTTCCTCAGCTTATTTAGATTTATTAATTCCTTTGCCCTGGCTCTTCAGTGGATCACTCATTTACAAGTTTTATTCACTAGGGAAGGCTGTACAATCATCTGTATCAATAACTGACTCAAGAGAAAATTTGCATTATGTTGATCACTCAGGTGTGACAGCTTGTCAGTGTCCATGTGCCGGGAAGGCGGGGGCTTGCTTGCGGTGATGCAGCCTCCTAGGGGAGCATTAATTGCAGCCTGCTCTAGAAAAATGGTTCTTCGGGTTATTAGACTTTATTGTTGGAGTTCTTTCACAAGGAAGGCACTGGCTACGACCTTATTATAATGCAGACTGTTTTCAGAATTCACTAGGGCCGTCAAAAGTGTTTCTCAGTTTATCTTCTCAGGTAAACATCGTTTACCCCTAAGCCTTGTTCCCCTTCCATGTGCCCAGAGGGGACAGAAGTGATTCCCAGTGATTGAGGCCAGAGTGAGGAGAGTGAGAAATTGTCCACCAGTGATGACGCCTGAACTCTTCACTCTCCACAGCTGAACATACTGGCCTGTGGGCTCATTGGTTCCCATTCTGTGATCTTGGCCTCTGACTGTTACGTGTACACCAGCTTTTCTTACATCACTTTGAATGTGCTCAGGAGAGCTCTCCATGCAGATTTCAGCAAAGCTTTCACAACTGTGCCTTTTCAAACCAATGGTAAGACTCAGAATGAGAGTGGGAGTCGGGCGGGAAGGTTTGACCCCAGGGCTGACAGAAGCACTGCAAAACAGTAGAGGATGTTCTCCATATGGATGCCATTATAGCCCTCTGCTAATGGTTGCTCATGATCATAGGAATAAAGAATCTACACTCAAATAAGGTAGTTGTGTTATGGGCAAAGGTTCTAAAAAAAATTTGTCACTAGGTCAGAACCTCTCTCACTGGTTCTGGGTCCAGTCACCCATGGCTTCAAATACAAATACAAACAAAAGGGTCTTTGGTGCAGAAAAAGAAAAAAAAATTAACAGTGGAGAGAGAGGGAGAAGGTTGAGTTACCAAATTGATGGTATGAGGTGGAGTTGGCAGCTACAGGAGGCAGCAGGGTGCAGCAGAAGCTGCTGCTGCTGAGGTGGAGAGGGCAGCCCCCCAACTTTGGGGGCTGGGGCAGATTCTGCAGTTGCTCCAAGGGAGCCTGTGTGCATCGTTCCCAAATTTTAAAGGCTTCCAAGATGGCTGTTTTCCTAGCAGCCTCCTCAGGATGGGGACAGTGGTGGGAGGGTGGGGGTGGGGCAGAGTTCAGACCAGTGTGCTGTGCAGGTGTTGTCCAGCCTTGGTGGTGTCTGGGAGTCAGAGTTGGGCCCGTGATCTACAAAAGCCACTCCAACAGTTGGAGTTCATACTTGTAAAAATCTACTAAATTTCTAAACCAGGACCTCTTCAGCTTACCTGGTTAATTCCCAGTTGTGAGAAAAATGTTGAAATTAAAACTGTTTGGCAGCCTATGGTTGAGAGTGGCATGAGGAATGAGAATGACAACCTGATTTTTAAATTACTCCTTTTTTTCCTCCTTGAATGAAGCATGTGCCTTAACTGAAAGGGAGAGTGGCTTTCAGTCAGTAAATGTTTTACTTCCTCAATTGTGAGATTCTACCATTAAAGATTTTGCATTAATTTTTTGAAGGAAAAAAAGACTAAACTAAATTAAGCATGATTCCAAGATGTGTTGTTTTCAGAACTGCTAGAATACAGGGGACAAGTGTATCTTAAGAGTTGAAGATGTAGAAGTAGTCTTGATTGTTAGGAACATTTAAGGGCAAGTCCTCCCCCTCCTGTCTTGAGACTTACCCCCTAGAGAAGCGGGTAATGCTGGACACCTTGAAATCCATGTTTCTGGTTGCCAAGCCTTTTACTTGAAGTTGGGTACAGTTTGTTGACTCCCACCATGCACTTGTGTGCCCTGCTGTAGGAGTGGGTAGGCCCATTAAGAGTGGGCTGGGGAAGAAGGAGAGCTTTGTAGTATTGGATACTCCAGGATCTGTGTTCATGTGCAAGGTATGATTACATACTTCACTCCCCTTTGGAAAAACACAACATATCAAGATTGTGAGCACCGGTCATGTAACATCAGACCACCATAGACCCAAATGACCAAATGACATCTTTGGACTTGCAGATACTTGTGGTGAGACGTTCTTATTCTGAAATGTTAAGACTTCTTACTCTGGCTTGTAAGTGAGCAAACACGCATGTTTGGACAGACTCACCAGAAAGTCTATTACTGAGAAAGGATGACACAGGTGTAGGCTATGTGTTAGCTCTATGTGAGCCTTTAAAATTTTGCTTTTCTCCTGTTTTTAGATTGTATTATGCTGGCTGTGTGGGGGATGCTGGCTGTGAGCGGGATTACGTTACAGATTCGCAGAGAACGGGGACAGCCTGATTTTCCTCCCCACCCATACAAGTTATGGAAGCGAGAAAGGGAGCGCAGGGTGACCAACATTCTGGATCCCAGCTACCATATCCCTCCTTTTCGAGAGAGGCTCTACAGCCGGTTAACCCAGATCAAAGAGCTCTTCCAGAAGGAGCAGCCCGCTGGAGAAAGAACACCTCTGCTTCTTTAGGTGCCACAGGGTGTGGTGAGCGTGATGTGGAAGAACACCCCAAGTGCTGCCTCCGTGGGTGTCATGCCCAGCTGCTTCAGTAACCCCCATTGCCAGTCTAAGAAGAAATCAGACTTGCGATCTGTGCTGTGCACACTAGTACTGGGTCTTGATGGACTTGTGGTAAGGGTCCACCAGGGTCATCAGGAGAATTCTAGGTGAGACTGAGGAAAATGGCCCAGAAGTTAATGGTAGAGAGGCTTTCTCTTTTTTGCAAACATCTGAGAAAGTTCCTTTTGGTTTACAAGTACATAACCAACTTATTCCATTAAATAGATACACTAAAAAAAAATAATAAATGATTTTCCTGTAAGGCCCTGGTGTTCTTTTTATAACTCTGTAAACAAGAGTTTTTTTACCTAAGTTTGTCTAAACCTGGGGTACTGGGAGGCAGGGGGTGGTTTTAAGTGTTACTGTAGCTTTAGTTACCACTGTGTGTGGGTGTAGAAGTTTGATAACCAGGCCATTGAACTTAAGAGCACAAAAGGAGAACTAACATTGTCTTACTAAAAAGCAATCTGAGGACTTACATCTTTTTTAGTATCATTATCAAAAAGATAGTCTTTTATCCTTTGGTGGTTAAAATTTGCCACATCAATAATTTTTAAGTGTGTAGTTCAGTAGGTACCCCGTTTTTTGGTTCTTTAAAATGGTAATCTAAATAGCTAATTTATTCTAGTTATTTGAAAATAGGCCTCTTTTTACTGATAATAGAATTTGTCATGATTTATTTATGTTCCACACAATGACCTCTGTTCTTTGTCTATCAAGGCTTTTCAAGACAGTGTAGCCAGCTGGATGCTAAGCTAGAGTAGATCAAATACGGATTATTCTGGTTTTGGAAAACAAATTGGTTCCTACTTTGTATTTGCATTAACAAGGAAGCCTTTTAAAAAATTTGCATTTCCTAGTTCTTTCTGCTAAATTTGTTATTAGCATTGATATACAGGTTTTTAAAAATGTCTTTGTAAAGCCTTTGTACCACCTGTTTTAAAATAGTAAGAAGGGGGTCACAAAGGATTCAGGTGCTCACGGAGCTCCTTTAATAGGAGTTTGGATTGTAGGAGGTGTACACTCAGTTTTGACCTTCTTCCCTGGGCACCCTACTATGCCCTGTTCTCCCTTTGGAGCCCTCTGAACGGTCAGCTACTGCAGAGTCTCCCCTTGGACTTTCCAGCTGGTGAGGGACATGTCTAAGTGATGATACTGAGGTTGGTTCTGCTCGTTATACCCCCACTCATGAATTAACCACTATTTTAATGATGCTGCTTTTAAGAATTTTTGCAAAGTACGGTCCATTTTCGAAGTTTTAAGTAACCAGAACTCTTTTAACTTGCTTATAAAAGTGTGGGTGGGGGGCCTCCCGTGGTGGCGCAGGCGGTTGAGCACCACGCTGTGAAACTGTCCATAGCCTCTGCAGCGGCAGTTCGATCCCGGCCGGCCAGCAAAGGTCCCACATGGCGTGGCAGACCTCTCCTGTCTCGCCCGCTGCTCCCCTCAGCAGTATTTAGTCAGTCTGCCTGTTCTGTTCCCTGCTGTCTCTGGTGAATCATCTCACCCTCCTGTGCATCTGGCCTGTACCCCAGTTCTTGTATAAAATTAAAAAATCTTTAAAAAAAAAAAAAAAAAAAAGCATGGGTAGGGACTCCCTGGTGGCGCAGGGGTTAAAGTCTCAGCACTATCAAGCTATCAGCAGCCACTGCAGCATGAGTTCGATGCCCGGCCAGGGAGCTGACCCACGTGGTGCAGCAGACCTCTCCTGTCTCTCCTGCTGCTCCCCTTGGCAGTGTATTTTGGTAGATCAGCCTGTTCTGTTCCCACTCTGTCTCTGGTGAATCTTCTCACCCCCTGCACTTCTTGCCTACACCCAAGCTCTTGTATGCATAAATAAATATTTAAAAAAATGGGCAGACTGAAACAAAAACTATCAGAGGAAATAACAATCATTTTTATTTTTAAAAATTACATATAAGTGTTCATTTACTATTTATTTTGTAATTCTGTTTATATAACTTCAGTAACACTTAACCTTGAAGAAAAAAGTATTGGCTTTTTAAGAAAACAATTCACTAATAGGGATTCTGACTTCTGCCATAGTTTGGTATATTCTAACAGATGAAATGTTTGTGGGTTATTTTTTAAACTATTAAAAATGCACTGCCAGTCAAGTTTGTCAGGGGAAATATGGGTTGTTTTTTGGGAGGGGGGATATGATTTGTAAGTAGTAAAAAGATAGTTGTAAAAATTAATAAATTATCTATTTTGAAAAAACGCTAGTCTCAAATTTATTACCTCATATGCTCCATTGCAGTAAGACATGAGATATCAATTTTCATAGCTATGAAAACAATGACTTAATCTGGAAAATTCAGCTCATTAAAAAAATCAGTTTAAAAGGATGTGAAATAATGGGAAATGAAGGAAAACTGGGGCACTGTATTAAAATTTACATCAACTCTTGGAAGGAAAGGTGGTGGCTTCTAGTGGATTAGTATTGTTGTCATGACTTCAACTGTCACATTGAAGAAAAGTATTGTTATTACCAGAAAATTAAGTTATATTGGTCTTTAGATGCTTTGGTTCTGATTAACCTGATGGCTACCAGCTTGCTTCCTCTCTTCAGAAAAACAAGTCATCTTGCTTGCTATTATCTGAAGGTTTTTCAACAGGAGAATCTTCCACCCTACAAGTAGAGTTATTCAGCTTTTCTCCCCAAATAGTTATTTCCTGATTTCCTTCATCCTCTTGCATTCTGTATGTCTATAGTCTGCATGACACTAGCAATAAATACCTTACAAACCCAGAGATAAGTCTTTAAATAAACCTATTCTAGGTAAGTCAACATACAAGAAATTTCACTTACTGCCCTACCAGATTTAACCTGAAAGGACTGACAGCTGACAAATCTGCAGCACTTTCAAGCAGCGAAGAGCTACCCCTACTCACCTTCAACTGTATATACAGACAAAGGTAATGTGCTCAGGCTGGGCATGCACAAGGCTGGGCTTGTCCCTGAGGGAAAAGATCTTAGTAAGTGCTGATGCAACCAATTTTCAACTTTGTGATTTTACACAAAATCCAAAAGTAGCCTTTCTATCAATGTGATTCTGAAGTATAGGGCATAAACTATGTATGGATATTTAATGCAGCATTGATTTGGATGCACAAAAACTGTAAATTTGAATATCAACAGGGGAAGTGACTGAATAAATTATGTCATTTATACAATGACATATACAAAAGACTTTGGTTTCCTATAAAAGAAACCAATTGGCTAATGTATATAAACAAAGGAACTAGTTGAAAGTAAATGTGTCGTACCTTGTATGTAGATTTTCACAGTTGTGTGTGCAAGTTAACAAGCTTTTCATTATATAAATTTAATGTACTTAGGTATGTCTTTCCTTCCTGCTGCTAGACTCTTCAAGTCACAATATGTAATGAACTATATTGAGTAGTCATCAATGATTTAAGATTAACTAAATTTAATTAAACTGTTTGCTGTGGCCCACAGAAATGTCTTTGGAGAATTAACTCCAACAGCAAGGGCAACTAAAGCAACAATCAATAAATGGGATGATGTTAAAATAAAATGCTTCTGTAGTAAAAGAAACCACCACAAAATGAAACAAAAACTACTTATTAGAAGATAGTTGCTCATCATACGTCTCACAGATCACTAATAAGCACATGAAAAAATGCTCCAATTCACTAATTATTGAGAAAATGCAAATCAAACCTACAATGAGTTATCAATTTACACCTGTGAAAATGTTCTATTGTAAAGAGAACCTAGAAGCAAGTACTCACTGTTGATGGAATGTAAATTGATGCAGCCTCTATGGCAATGGTATGGATACTCTTAAAAATCTAAAATGCAAATACCATATGACCCAGGAAAACTTCTCTGAGGTATTTATCCAGAATATGTAGAAGTATGGGCTTCAAACAACAAAAACATCCTCAGAGATGTGGAGGCCTGAAGTCTGAAATCCAGCAGGATCGGTCCCATCTGGAAGTTCTGAAGAAGAATCTACAGATTCTGGTGGCACCTCATAATCCTTAGGGTTCCATGGTTTGTAAAACTCTGAATTTTGCCTTCACTGGCTTTCCTGTGTGTGTTTCAAATCTCCTTTATAAAAGCACTAGACATTGGACTTAGAGCCTTCCCTAAGACACTCCTGACATTTCATCTGCAACAACCCTTGTTCCAAACATGGCCACATTAAGAGGTACAGTAGATTAGGATCTGTACATACTTTTGGTAGTAAACTGTTCAATCCATTACAGATGATAAAAAGAGTTTCATGACCAGCAATAAGTTGCTGGTTAACTCCTGAGAGAAACAGACAGTAGCTGATCCAAGTGCTAGTTGCACTAAATACTTGTTACCACTTACCACTAACTGTTTTGTAAGATAGAAAACCCTAAAAATTAATGTAAGGAAAAAACATAAGTATTGTTTTCAACCTGGAAACCATACCAATTTTAACCACTCATCTTTATTGATAAAATAGGCTCCTTTGCAGTTCATATTATCTGACACAAATTTAAGGAAGGTTCTGCTTAAAAAAAAAAAAAAGTATGGGATGGAAAACTTACACAACAGTGTCTTTAAATACCAAGACCTTAAAATCATATCGAAGCAAGAAGACCAACAATAAATTAACTGGTTACAAAAATAATTATTTATCAAGTAATATTTTTATAATAAAGCTGCCTAAATGACTTGCCTCACACTTAAATCTCAATTGGTGTGGCTTATGTTTTTTAATTCTGACTTGGGATAGAAACTATATGAATGAATATGCCATCAAACTAAGGGATATATCTCCTAACACCAATAGAAAAGCAAGAACTGTCATTTACTTATAAAATATCAATTAAGGCCTCTGAATGAGAAAAGAAATGTAATGTTTGGGCCTTTAGCCCTTTCTATTCAGTCAGCCCCATCAACCCCACTTACCCCAAACCTTAGAAAAATTCCTTAAGTGAAAAGTAGTTTTGAATTTTACCAATATATGAAATTATACATAAAAGTTACCATATGAAGTAAGTTATTTAACAAATTACATACTCAAAAGTAAAGATTTCTATTGTGCTGATTTTTCTATGTATTTAATATAAGTGAATAAATTTTATTGTATTTGATATTCCTTTTATACTTCTATACTCACCAGAAAATAAGAAAAATTTTAGGTTTCAATTGATGTTAAAAGCATATTTCTGTTATGGTGACTTTAAAAAATTGACATACAAGATGTGATATTTTACAAAAAACACAAATACTTCTAAATTCATATTTTTTTGCCCTATTGACTTAAAGGCCGAGAAAAATCCTACAGGTTATGAGGATCGGCTGGAGTGTAAGAATAGATCAAGAAAATTTTTTTTGAAATTTTAATTTACCTTTCCTGTATCTCCTAAGAGTAACTACTTTTTTTAAAAAGGGGGCCTATAAGCCAGAGGAATTACCAATTTACTTCAAAATTACCACACCTAACTTTCTATTTCAAACATTTCAACTCTGTTAGCTTAGCTACATACTGTCCTGACAGATCAACCAAAGATATAAAACCTCATTTTCATTATTAGAACTGAAACCTTTTCTTTCAAAGGAGTAGTTTAACCTACTACATGTCTGTTAAAAGATCTTTCTTAGAAAGTAGTATTCCTTCTCTTTCATTCCTGAAATCATATTTCATATATTTAAACAAGTTATGGACAATTGTTAACTGAGATATTTATGGCAAGTTAGCTCAAATTACTTCTTTTGTTTATGGTACATACAAAACATCCCTGCAGTCTTTAAAACTGAATTTTCTTTGACAAAAATTTAACGGGAAAGTAGACAGGCAATCATTAAAGCTTGAAGCCTCATGTATATCATGCTATTTGTTAACCTTGACACCAGACAGGGAGGGTAAAATTTAGTGAGCACCCTCCATCTACAAAATTGTAGCTAAACTTGTATTCTTTAACAGGAATAATCTTATGAATTCTCAAATGTTTACTAGGAATAGTCATTTATCCAAGTATTATCCAGGAAGCCAACAATACTGCTAAAAGTGCTTGATAGGTTCAGCAACCACCCACTGCAAAAACCTCAAATTGTTCGCCAGTTAACGAAGTAAGGCTTAGTTTTAACTTTTCAGTATGTTTAGGAATAAAGCCTGTGACCATTAACTATGCAGTTTTTTGTTGCTATCTCTTAAAAATGTGATTGCCAGTACACTACATAATACAAAAAACTAAAAAGGGTAGCATGAGACGGAGTTTTCTGCTCATTCATTCAATTGGTCGGCCAGTCCCAGTGAAGTCTGGAGTCTTCCAGGAAGCTCTTCAGTTCTTCCTCAGACTCAGATCACTGCTGGTCACTAATGCTGACAAAGAAGTACTTTCTGACACGTCATCTTTTTTCAGATTCAAAAATGATTCTCGAGTTATTTGAAGGATCTCTCTCAAGCCTTTGTTTTCTTGCTGTAAAGGTAAACAAAAACAAAGATGCAGTCACCAAGAGCTACAAAAGTACACATATATCCTAAGAAAGCCAAACACACGAAGATATGAGGCAGAAATGTGTTAGACAATACATGCAGTTGACAACTGGAATCCACAAATTCCTTAAGGAATCATGTTCAACATCTTCCATCAAAGCTTATTTAAGCAGGTGTGATTGTAGATGGAAATTCAGGAAGTACACTTTTTTTAATTTTACAATCACGGTATAGATGAAGAAAGTAACATCTAGGATCATATACACTCAGAAAGCCTGTGAATAACCCTGGAACTAGAACCACAGTATTTTAGTACTCACTACTTTTCATGAAAACATGCAATGCAGACAAGCCATCTGGTTTGCTTGCCTCACTGGAATTTGAGACATAAAGGCTGGTTGGGTAGGCTGGTATTTTTCACAGGGAAAGTAAATGACAAACTCTAGCATTGGTAAACAATCTCTTTCCCATACCCGCCCCCCCCTTAGTTATTGTAAAAAATTCAGACATTTAAAAATGACTTTTCATAAATTACTCTCTACAATCCTGTCTTCAAGTCTTACACTCTAAGTTTCAGTGGCTTTAAGGAGGGATCATTAGTGGTCTGTCAGCGCACACTCAATGTTACCTGAATATACATGAGCCCAAACTTTTTTCTCCGTGTAGCGGCTCTGGTGTTACAGTGGCAGAGTAACTATTTTAGAGACTAAAATAGTATTACCTGCCCCTTTACTGAAAGTATGCGTACTCCTGGTAAAAAGAGCGTGAGCACTGTATTTTTCGAGGTAGGAATCTGTCTTGGTGATCTATAACTAATTTTCCCTTCATGGCTTCAAAGCAAAACTTCTAAAGTACAAAAATCATTTGTACTGATCTGGATTATTCATCAATGACTAATGTATGTGTAGTTAATGACTAATGACTAATGTAGTTAATGGTCACTACAAGATAAAGGACAATGAGACAAAAGCTTTTATACTTCCCAGAAAAATACTGATGCCCAAGGAATATTAGTGGATTAAAATATTTTGCCTGCATCATGTTGAGCTCTAATGAATGAAGGTATTTTTTTAAATTACTAAATTGAAGATTTATCTAATAACAGAAGGAATATAAAACCAAATATCAGTTTTTGCAATTACTGGCATAAGTTACTACTGATCCTATACTCATGAGTACTATATATCAATGGGCTTGCATTATACAACCCTAAAACCAGTTCCCAGATTATGAATAAGAACATTACCAATAATCCAGAAAAGGGTATTTTCTGGCATAAATTTTAGTATAGACAGTTTTAAACTACACTTGCCATCTAAAACTTACCTCAAGTTGAAATATGCGCTCCTGTTCCTTGCAGCCCTGTTGTTCATCAATTTCAATGGCTTTCCTCATCACTGCTGCCATTTCTGTTATCTGGTCGACGTGAGCTTGCAGTTCCTGAAAAAGATAAGAGGAAAGCTGCAAATCAGTGAAATACTTTATTGTTTTTATTTTTGAGTCCTCTCCTTTTAATAGATCCTGAGTGATCACTGAGTATGAATGTAACATTCTTACTACCATTTAACACGCAGATAACATCTAGCAGATACTGATGAGGTGGTAGGCTGGCCACCAGCACACTTCTGAAATCAGAACAGGAACAAAGGACAAGTAGCACAATGTAACTGAACCTGCTAACAAGCAGAGCACTGTATTTCACATCCCTCTCACCACAAATGATCTGCAACTTTTCCTTTTTTGTACCCACATGTGCTATGGATCAGAGCAATGGGAAAGATAAAAACTGCTGACATGTTTCCCTCCCTGAAGTCTTCATGATGTACAAACTTCTTATGGGTTATCCACGCCTATGAATTGGTCTCAAACCAATCCAGAACTTTTCTAGACTAATAATCCCCCTTGTGAGCAGGAACTGTATCTTCTTTATATATATGCCTATTATTTAATGTCTGATACACAACAGCTAATATTGAATAAAATGAAGTGTTCTGCACCTAAGTATTAAAATATGGTCTTCTGGCAAATTGTTCAAATACAGTATCAATAAAGAGACCCACATTTGTCTGGCATAGCTAACAGCATACATTTCTTCCAATCTCATCATCCTTTTTTGTACAATGTGCCAGACACTATGTAAGCTGGTAGGAAAATGAAGCCTGTTGACAGTTTCCCTGACTGCAAGGCGCTTACAGTCAAATGAAAGGCAGACAAAATGGCTTAAAATCAACAGCATCTTAAGAATAAGCACTTTTTCTATGAATAGCTCCTATAGTTCATTTTCTCTGGCCAAAACCTAAATATAAAAGCAAACATTAACTCTCTTAGTTTTAGGTAATTTATCTGTAAAAAGGATTTAAATAGGATCCCTAAAAACTCTACAAAACTACTAAGCTATGGGAAAATATGAAGAAAAAAATGGGAGTACCTCTAGTAAATAACACATTTAATATCTTCTTAAGCAACAAAAATGCAGCCCCTTATGTTAATGGGAAAACCTAACAATGATAGTACACAGGAAGGAGACAAAATAAAGACTAATCTGTGTTAACACAGGGCTATTTAAATTTCAACTAATTTAAATCAAATAATTTTTTAAAATATACATTTCAGCCCCTCGTTGTACTAGTGACACTTCAGGTGACCCATAGGTGTGTGGCTGATGGCTTTCATATTGGACAGCATAGATCAACATTTTCACCATTTTGGAAAACTCTACTGGATATCCCTGGATTAGACTGTGGTAGCAAGAATGCTATCAAGACAAAAATCATATTCTGCAATATTTAATGAAGGGAACATAATGTTTAAAAGCAAGTTAAGTATAGATAATTGCAGTAGCAAACTAAGGACAATGAGTAAGCTTTCAATGCCACCAGCTTCCCTAGTTTATGACATGGTGTCCTATGGCACTAACCTAGAAATCAAAAGACTACACACGGAGCAGATAATTTGTCTCTAAAAGGAAGAAAACAACATGTTTTCAGGACAGGGTCTATTCTAATAGTATCATCATGAGAAGAAATACCCAATACTTTGGACAAAACACTATTTTTATAGATCCAGTTCACAGACAGTTCACTCTTTACAATTAAATCTTTAGGATTTTATGTTTAGATCTTTTAATGGGTACTAGAGACCAAAACCTGAGCTTTCAAAACTGTCATAAAGGAAAGAAGTGTCAGCAACATGATCCTTGAAGTGCCTTTCATCTGTAATTTCTGTTTAGGTTTATTAAAACTTTACTCAATAAAGACCTACCACGCTTAAATTAAAAAAGACAGTTAAGACATAATGCAGGGGCCTCCCTGGTGGTGCAAGGCATAAGACACAGTATTATGACGCTACCTGTATCCAATGCAGCACAAATTCGATCCCCAGCCAGGGAGCTACCCAAATGATGCAGCAGACCTCTCCTGTAGTGCTGGCTGCTCCCCTCAGCAGTGTATTTCAGTCAATCTGTCTATTCTGTTCCCCACTCTATCTCTGGTGAATTCTCTCACCACCCCCCACACCTCTGGCCTATACCCCAGTTCTTGTATGCATAAAATAAATAAATCTTATTTAAAAAAAAAAAAGACATAATGCAGAGTATACTGTGATACTTAATCATAACACGAAAGGAAAGATTTCTTGGCAAAGTCAAAAATAGGAATTAAAACAGTATCAAAAATAGGAATTAAAACAGTACATTAAACAGTCGAACAAAATTTTTATGAAATTGGATTAAAATTACTGTCAAGAAAATATTTTTGAAGTCCAGAAAAGAGAATAATTGTTTAAAGCTAACTAAAATTTTGCAGTAACAATAGGAGTAATAAAATGAAAAGCTGGCCTCATCAATTTTTAAGCCCTGCAATTATCTATCAGGCTGTGTATGCTACAATAGAGAATTAACGACAGATAAATACACTGAATATTTTCTGCATGGCTCCCAAAAACATTATTTGAGCCATTTATTTGATTTACTTTGGGAGAAAACTTCAATGTGAAAGAACTTTTTATAATGGTGCCCCCCTTCCATCCACACCCCAAAAGTCGACTGTTTTATTTAGTGTACATTCTGATTTGCTTCCAAGTGCCTCCTCTCCAGTCCATGTTGAGGTGCTTCAAGGATGCGTCGAGATGCATCAAGGAAGAATCCTTCGGGTCAATCTGTAGTATAGAGTCATTATAATGTTAATACGGACATTATCCGTAATTTAAAAACTGAATGAGTGTTAGTTCATGCGTGTTAGCCAACTGTTTGAAATGTTTGTTTTTTTAAGATTTCCAAAAAGGCATCTGTTCAAAAATAATGAAAATTAGTATTTAGATGAAAATGAGCTCTTATCAAGCTTTTCATTGTTTTTTTAAAATGTGTGTTCAAAAACTAGCTGAGGGCAACATTCTATGCCACAATAGTCTCAAAAGGGTCTCATCTCAAAAATGCTGTCATGTGTAACTCATTACCCTAAATGTGTTATCAAATGCTTGCTATGTTTTGGGCATATAAGAACACCAGTACCTAAACACTATGTGGAATCTCAGATTTCTGCACCTTATTCAACAAGTTTTTCTATTCAACCACTTCTGCTTACTAACCCCTCCCCACCAATAATTAAAAGCTGAATTTAGATAGATTTTCTTTCTTTCCTTGAGTTGGGTTCCCAGACTCTCCTCATGAGAACTAATCACCTTTCCCTGGCAATATTTAATATTCCGCTAGTAATTCCGGTCTCTTGTTTTAGGATATACCACATCCTAACTTACATTATTAGCTTGGTTTGCATCACTATTTCCCATTGCATCGCAAGCTCCTATGGTGGAGTAATGGAACGTAATCATTGGTTCATCTTATTATTAATAATAACTAACCAGTGCAAGTATTAATGTTTATTGTGTTGAAATGTCTCCTTTTTGGGAAAAATCAAAACCACAAACATTAAATGTATTAGTTAGAATTAATAACAAGCAACTGAACAGTCATTTTATGGAAGGCAAGGATCAGCACTAAGATGAAGAATTCAATCTCATAATGAAAAAAGATGATTTACAGCTATTTTAAGACAAAGCTAATTAATAAAACAGCTCCACTGAATGGCAAAATTTAATGTGTTTTCAAAAACTTTTGCTTCTCTCATAGCTGCTACCAGTTGGGATTAGAAAGCTGCAGTATCTTTATTATAAGTATGTTTTCGTCAAGGTATATTTCTCCTTATAGCTTAACAAATGTATTTTTTAGGTTTTTAAACCTAAAGGGCCCTTGAAATTTCTCAAGATTACATTTATTTTACCAATATTTTTAAGTCAATTAATCATTGCACCTAAAAAACCCCACTCTTTGTTACATGCTTAAATTTAATGCTTTTTTAATGACTTATGAGTAGTAGATACATTTTATAGTCAAAAGATTGTCAATGAAATATTTACGGTTATCCTTTTGGTTAGATCAACAGCATAATTAGGTAAATTAAATCCATATATTTATTACATTATTATTTGGCACAGGTGTCATTACTAACTTCTTAATATGTAAATTGTTATAAGAAAAGCTCTATACTAGGTATTTAATTTTAAAAGAATAATTTAAAAATAGCTACAAGTACCAAGATAGAAGGAATATTTTAAAGAAACTAAAATTATTTTAAAAATTGAGAAAGAGAAAAACATCGTATAACAATCAGTTTCTTAAATATTAGTTATAATGGTTCATGATTATCCTATGTAGCAAATTATCCAATATAGATAATATAGGCTAGATAATAGCTTAATTATCAAAATCTTTTCTAATATTTTCACATCAGCAGTTAAAATAAACTCAGTTTAAAATAAAATATAAATGAGAAAAGACTGTCTTCACAGCAGTTGTAGCAAACACGGGACATACACAAAAGGAACATACATGGGGGTAACGATTAGTAGGATGGACAGCAGGAAAAATACTATTTCTAATGTTAACTGATGTTATTTGGTGGGAAAAGGGCAAAATTATAATAGGTTGGTTCTTTTCTTCTCCCCTACCCCGTAGTTTTTCCATTCTATTCAGCATTATTTATAGTCTGAAAGAATTAGCCTCATTCAGAAAGTAAACTTAAAGACAAATCTAAATTTAGTTGCTTTCGTATTTTTATATAAATTTTCAGCATTTCAACTCTTGTATTTGTAACAGATGTCAATACACAGATCAAAAGAAGTATTTCCTAAAAGTAGATAACCTGATAAAATTAACTTTGAATTGAAGAGACTTACCTTCGCATCCCAAATAAACTTTATTTTTTGAAAGCATATTAAAACTACTAGGGAACAATGGGAGTTAGAAGAATAAACTAAATAGAAAATGATTTATAACAGGAAATTTTAAAAAAGAAACAGCCAAAAAGACATAAGATGAAGTATTCAGTATATGTTAAATATCTGTGCTTTTTTTTAAGTTTAACCAATTATCCCTCTTTTCATTTCAAATTATATTTACAGAATGGATTACCTTTGAGTGCTGCTCTTTTAACTTCAATATTATACCCGGATCATCTTTTTTGCTAGCCATTAGCAATCTAAACATTTGCTCTCGATATTTGCTCATTATAATTTCCAAGGCAGATTGGTGTTCTTCTAGAGATGTACGTAATTCTATCAAGAATAACAGTACATATTATTCAAATACATTAAAGATGAACAAAATAGTCTCTTCCACATTCATTTTTTAAAAAGCAACTTACAAAGAAGGTATTTTTAAAAGAAAACATGATGTGTAAAAATCTAGCCAGCAGAAACAAAGGATACCAGGGGAAGGTCAATTTGGTAGTGGGAAAGCAGCTAGAACTTTGGTGGTGAGTATGGTGAGGTATTTGCACATACCTAGGTACGTAGCCATATTATTGAAACTTACATAATATTGTAAATCAATAGTAAGTAAAACTTCACTAAAAGTAAAGGAAATAAATGACACCAAATAGATTCCTATATTAGTTTTTTAAATGACCATTTAAATCATTTTTTCAGAATCATTTAAACAAACACTGAACAACAATTAAGTATCACACAATGCTCTATATTAGCAATATTAAAAGACCATGGATCTGAAGAGTCAAGGAGAGAAAACAAATACAAAAAGGATTATAATACAACACATTAGTGAAGAGTGGTACTCTACTCAAATACATAGGAAGACAAGTGTGTGGAGAAAAGAAAATGGGAAAGCATCACAGAAGTATAGTACTGAGTAAACTTTTATTTCTTGAGTTGAAAACTTAAGGAAAGGAAAATTTCTTGAAGCAGGAAGGTATGAAAGTGGATGGCAAGAGCCAAAGTTTCATGGAGAAGAAAACTATGGGAGGAAGATGGAAAAGGTGTGGAATTCACTTTGAAGGTCCATGAATAAGAAAATAAGAACACAACAGAAATTCTTAAACAAAAGAATAAAAATGTGACAGGATGTTTTTGAAAACTCAATATGATGCCTGTGTTGAACATGAATTGGAGGAGGAAAAGACACTGGGAAGAGGAGACCAGTTAGGAGAGTTTAAGCAAGAGGCTAAGAATACCAAAGCAAGGAACGCAGAAGTAGACAGGATAAAGAACAAAAGTAGGATTTATGTTTATGGAGCAGAATGAAATTAATTTCAAAAATTAGCTTTAGTGGGCTATTTTCCCATTTTTGAAACTATTAATTGGTCTCTAGTCAATGGTACAGTAGTAGATTGAAGTTCTTTTGATGTGCTAGACATAGAATAGTATCTCTTGCCTTTGTTCTCCTGCTGTAATTCTCTGATTTGTCTGTTTTCTTGCTGGATTCCCATAACTAATGTGGATCGTGGTCGATGTCTTGCAACTTCATTAAGTTCTTGAATTTCTTCCTGATACTAATGAAAAGATTAAACAGAACATGTGGAAAGAAAATGTTTGAAAAGCATATCTCTCACTTGCTCGCTCGCTCGCTCTATCTGCATACATGCGTAACAAGGTTTCCAGAATAAAGAACAATTCAACAATATGAATAATATGAAAATTAACTTAAAAATGGGTAAACAAGTTCTGGGAATCTAATGTACAGCACAGCGGTAAATAATGGTAAATAATATTGTATTAGATGCATGAAAGTTGCTGAGGTGGTGGTGGTGTTAACTAATCTTACTGCGGTAATCATTTCATAATATGTACATGTTATCAAATCATCAGGTTGTACACACTAAACTTACAAAATGTTCTATGTCAATTTTGTCAATTTTTTCCTATCAATAAAATTGGGTGGGGGGAAACAGGCAAAAGGCTTTCAAGAGCCATTTTTCTAAAGAAGATACACAAATGGTCAATAAGCATATGAAGAAATGTTTAACTGTCTCAGGGAAATTCAATACAATAGTAAGATACAACTTCACAATCACTAGAATGAAGTTGTTTAAAAAAAAAAAAAAACACCAAGTAATAGCAAGTGTTGAAGACATTGTAATCCTCACATATTGTGGATTGGAATATAAAATGGTATAGTTGTTTTGGAAAACAGTCTAGAGGTCTTCAATCATACCACCTAGCAAGTCCACTCCTAGGTATACTTCCAATGGAACTGAAAATATATATCCATACAGAAACTTGTACACAGATTTTGTAGTAGTATTCATAAAGCCAATAAGTAGAAACAATCCATTGTGCACCAACTGATGAATAGATAAATGTGCTGCATCCACACAATGAAATAACACTTATCAATAAAAATTAAAGCACTAATACATGCTACAACATATTGATGATTCCATTCACATGAAATGTCCAAAATACACAATTCTATATACAGGTAAGTGGTTTCCAAGGGCTGGGAGAAGGGAGAGCCAGGAGTGACAGCTATTGGAAGTGGGCTCTTGGGATGATGAAAATGTTGGAGAACTAGATAGTGGTTATGGCTGTACAACATGTCAATAAAAACTCAATGAACTATACATTTCAAAAAGGTAAATTTATGGTATGTGAATTACATTTCAATAACAAAAAGTACATGTGCAAAAGAAATACAAAATTATTATATTTCAAATAAATGGAATCTAACTTTACAATTGCACTCCTTTATTTTCAAGGCATTTTTGAAAGAGCCACTTAGTATAATGAATGTTATTCATTATAACATTCCTGGTTTGTTATTTAGTTGTCTAACTATGCTGGTAGGGGTACCGGGGGAGGGACTTTTTAACAACTCCGCATAAGATAGATGTTCTGAGTCAAGCTCTATAGTTAGGGAGGTATAAAATCTGCTCAGGGTAACAGTTGCAAAGCAAAGTAAGTACACTTGTTTCATTATTTCTGAATGTTAAAAGCAGTATTCCAGGGTTACTTCCTTTAAAAAGTTGAATTTCAAGAGACTAGAGTGAATATACATTTCCCCCTACCGATTTCCATCACAGTATCAGAGTGTTTATAACTCCTAGAATTGAAAATTTTTATCAGAAGAGGACTTAAAATGGCAGCTGAACTTCATGGTCCACTGGAAAAAAATATATATGCATATATCATTATATATAAGGGTATATATAAGGGTGAGGAGAACAAGTGAAGCCCTTTCATTTCTTCTTTAAGTGGCAGCATTAAATGAAAAAAGCACAAACGCAAATGAAGTTAAGTACACAAGGTGTAAGCCACTTATTGTCCTGCATTGTTTTCAAAACTAATTTGATATTAAATAGCATCACCTAAGTAGCTCTGCAAAGAAAATATATAAATATTTTTACTCAATAAAATGAGAGCAAAATACATGTGAATATTGTAAAAGATACTACCTGAATCTAGACCTAATAAATTCATATACTTTCTAAACTCAAATGTGCATCTGTCAGAAAAATGTGATCAAGCTTTCAGGTTTTAGAAAATATATTTACATATCTATAACCCAAGCATGACAATATCACATTCTACTCTAAAATAAAACTGAAACAAGTGAAGCTACTTGAAAATTTTAGAGAACACTGAAAAAAAAAAAAACCTGAACACCAATTAAGTAGGAGTATGCGATCAAGCAATACATAAATGTCAATGACCCCATTTTTAAATGGGATCAACAAAAAAAGGGAAAAGCTCAAACCTGCTTCATGGCTTCTACCCGTTTGTTCAGAGCTGTGGTTTGCTCGATCAGGGACTCTGCTGCCTCGTCATGGTCTTTCAATCTTTCCACAAGAGCTTTGGCATCAGCAAGTGCCTTTTCAATTGTGCAACTCATTTCTAAAGGAATACCTATAAATAACATTAAAATCAAGACTCAAAACAAAGCCAGCATATCATCTTATCTTAGTTTCCTCTTAACGCAGATACACTTTGTAAGTTATATTTACTACAGGATTGGTCACTGTCTGGAGAGAGGAAACATCTAAGAACAGTTTTGTTTCAGTAAGGATGGCACAAACCTAAAAGTGAATTTATAATATTAAAAAAAAAATAGAACACATATAAATTATTTGCAGACATAATCAGAGTATATTCAAAACACCCTGAATTTATGGTGGGAAACAGTATATATCCATTTAATACAATTAATATTGTATAGGAGCTATGCTCTTTTTGAGAGCACTCCCTATTTTATATTGTGGGAAAGGTCACCTGATTACTCTGTACTCTGAGGTTAATGACTGCAGGTCTCTGATCATGGGACCCCATTCACAGACTCACCGTATGACCAGCCAAGAGGTCTCTATGTGTCATGCTATTTCAAGGTGTCTACCTTCTGGAGGAAGGTCTGCTTTTTACTTAAGGTTCCATTATGATCCTAATTCTTACACTTTCTCCTTAGAAAGTGGCAAAAAAAGTTTTGGTTTAGAATGACATTGAGTATTATGAGAATCTTTTAATATGTTAAAAATCAATAAATAAAATATTTAAAAGGTGCTCATAAAACTAGGAGACAACATATGAAACAGTTAACAGCTCTTTTAGTTCAAATGTCAGAGCTATTAAAATAAAACATTTTTAAATAATCTCAGAAAAATTAACTTTCTGATACTTACCATCCTTGAATTTTTCTTTCTTCTATTTTTCTTTCTTCTGAAAAACCTCTCCCTCAGGGTTTTTCAAAAATTAAAATCACTCTAAAGTTACAAGGCTAGCAGCTATGTCTATGGAAGTTAAATTAAAATTCTGGTATAAGCCAAGTTAAGGGGTATAGTTAAGAATTTTCATCAGCTTGAGGAAGACATAAATTTGCTACCAAATGGCAGACTTTGCTAGATACAACTGCACTGGGCTACAGATCTGTACCAACTATTTCAATTACTAGCCCTTCAGATACAGAAAAAAGCAGCAAGTTGATTTAAATAACCCAACTGTGTAACACTAAAAGAAAACTAAAAGTACAACACATCAGTTTTAGCAGGTTTGCATTCAAGGTTATATTTAACAAAGATTCAAAATTACAACTAAACAAAGATGAAAAACATAGACTTCAGAAAACAATGAAACAGTATTCTTGTTTCTATCCAACAGTTGAAGCAAAGAGTCAATTAGTCTATTATTAGATACTGGCTCAAACCTGAATATTAAATGAAAATAAATTAAGCCATAAAACTGGCAATTAAGAAAATATTTGCCATAATGATCAGACATTACCAAGAAGCTGTAAGAATTAAACAAGCTGGAAATGAATATAATTTCTGGCTGTCTAGATAAAACCACCACAAGAGTTATCTTCTAAGATTTCAGAGGTTTAGATAAGGGTACTTGAAAATATGATAAGCATTAATGGAGCCAATGTCCCACACTGGCTTAAAACACCAAAGGCCCCAGATGCTCCAAGGCGACCACAGAATCCACTGCCTGTCCTTCCTCTAAACTTCCAAGGGGAACTATCTAAAAATTGCACATGGACAATAACACAGTGTTCTTATTTAAATGGATGTCACTATGCTCTCATGAATTCTAATTCCATAGAACAGCAGATCCTTTAGAATAAAATTTTAAAGTCATCCATAAAGCAAAAATAAGGGGTGGGGGAAGGAGTTGGGGGTGAGAGAAGGGAGATAAAATGACTTGTAAAAAATAAAAATGAAAAAAAAAAATTTGTCTTAGAGCAAAACTGACAGGTTGTAACAGATGGTAAAAGGAAGAAAAAAAATTGAAAGCCAAGTGAAAATTGTTAAAGACTTGAGAGAAAAAGTTTATCTTGGTTAGTAGAATAGATACAAGTACTAGGAATCTCTAACAGTACTAGGTCCCAAGCTATAAATGATATTGTTAGGACCACTATCAGAAGAATTTTTTTTTATACTTTATAACATCTACAAATTTAGTAGTTAGGATATTTCCAACTAGAATGCACTAAGACTCCTACATATGATGAGACGTTGGTGATCTACATATGAGAATACAGACACTGTGTAGAATTCAAGAAGTTACCCACACCCCCATGGAAAAAAAAAAAGCTATGCTCCCATAACCCTCTGGACAAAAAAATCTGCAGACACCGACCAATTAACTGTTTAACAGAATCCTAAATCCAGATGGCATCTTTATAGATAATCACAAACCTTTCTTTTTGAAATATGAAAAGGTTAAACCTTGTTCTGCAGATATTAACTTGACAACATGGCATAAAAAACACACTGGTGATTAAATCCTATGTCTTAATTCAATAGCCAAGGCTTAGCCTACTTACTTGAGCAATCACAGGCCTCAACTAAATTAGTTAAACCATCTCCAGAGTTTATACTATGTCTATATAGTAAATCTCCATTACTAAAAAGGCATTCCAATAAGCATAACTGAAAAATTGTGAGATCTTATTACTTTATCCTTTTTCTATTACCACCACTGATTTAACACTTTTACTTGAGACAACACCATACCTGCTGAAAGATAATCTCATGATTTTATTTCCCTAATCTCATGATTTTATTTCCCTAACATATTTCCTTATATTCAAGCTAAAAACAAAACTTTTGAACTTTCTAGTACCAAAGTGGACTATACCATTTGTTAATGAGTTTTACAAGAAACCTAAAAATGATAAAACCAGGTTTGATATATGATAGATACTTCAGTCATGCTGGTAAAATTCAACTTCTTACCAAAGCCAAACTGATTAAATGACTTAAATGTGGTCTTCTAACATAAAAAATTTGCTAAAATAAAAGAGTAAACGTACACTAATAACTGCACTGTTTTTGGAATAATTCATGTCCTTGAAATGCGCTAAAGAAGTTCCTCAGATATTCCTTAATAAAACAATAAAATTTGAAGTATAGTTTCTACAAAATGTGTACCACTTTCATACCACTGTAATAGCAAAAAAAATCATAAGACAAACTATACTTTTAAGTATACTATAAACAGATGGCTTGGACCAAATGCCCTCATTTATGCAAGGGCTTCACATAAAACAACAATAAAATTTTAACAAATCCATGGATAAGCATAGATCACACCATAGATACAAAATCTAGCCTGCCAAATTCTGAAAAGAATGATGGGATGATTAAATTGTAAAATCCATGAGGGTAGAGCCTCCCTAGTGGCACAAGCGGTTAAGACTCAATGCTATCAGGCCACTGCAGCATGAGTTCCATCCCTGGCCAGTGAGTTAACCCAAATGGCGAAGCAGAACTCTTCTGTCTTGCCTACTGCTCCCCTCCGCAGTGTATTTCACTAGATCAGTCTGTTCTGCTCTCCACTCTGTGTCTGGTAAATCCGCTCACCCCCTGTACCTGTGGCTGACAACCCAGTTTTTCTATGCATAACTAAAAATAAATCTTCAAAAAAAAAATCGATGAGGGTAAGAGCTGACACAATCAGAGTGGCTTCCAGATAGCAGCAGGTAAAACCTCAAGTGAACACTAACAACTCTATGGAAACATCTCACTCCAGTAGGAAAAGATCAACAATAATATTAAACACAGATGGGAAATTTTCTCGGATAGCAGGAAGCATAGCCCAGTGCATGCCTTATTTGTAAATAAGTTAACCTGGAAAAATTATAAAGGTGAAGTAAGGAATAAAACCATTCCTAAAATTTAAAAGAACTGCAACCACACAAATTATATTCTTTGACGATAATGGAATCAAACCAAATAAAAAAGAAATTGTTCAAACATTAATAATAATAATCCATTAACCAACACATTAATAATAATAATCCATGAGTCAAAAAAGAAGTCCTTTTTGGAAATTAGGAAATATTTTGATAAAAGTAAGAAAATTCAAGAATCAAAATTTTGCCATGCATGTAATACAGTTCTTTGAAGGAAACTTCTATCACTAAATGCTTATATATAGGAAATTAGAAAGATCTCAAATCAATTATCTAAGCCTCAATTTTATGAACAGCAAAATAAATCCAAAGTAAATAAATATAGCAGCAGTAAAAGAGCAGAAAATCATTAACACTGAAATAAGGAAGCAACACAGAATAAATTTTAAATCAAACATTAGTTCTTTGAAAAAACAGATAAAACTGACAGATCTCCAGCAAACCTGACCACCACCACCAACAACAACCAAAGAAGGACATCAAGAAGACCTAAATTACCAATGTCAGGAATGAAAAAAGGGATACCAAAAAATCTATATCATTGTCAATTTTAAATTCATTAAAATTCAATAAAATCAGCTCAAAATCTACCATTTTAATGGCAGATTCTGCCAAACTTTTAAAGAAAAAAATAGCAATCTACATTACCTCTTTGAGAAAACAGAATACTTCTAACTCATAAAATGATGTCAACAGTACTGACACCAAAAGCAGAAAAACAGCCCAAAAGAAAAAAAGAAAAACCACAGCTATCCCTCATGAACATAAATACAAAAACACTCAAGAAAACACTAGTGACTGAAATTCAGTGACATAATATGACTATACCATAGCCAAGTAGGTTTTATCTCAGAATTGAAGGCTGTTTCAATTTAAAATCAATTGATCACGTGAAAAAACTCAACATCCTTTCATAACAAAAACTTCTGTAAACCAGAAATAGAAGATGTTCCTCACTGAGAAAGGGCATTTCCAAAATACCTACAGGGAACATCATATTTAGACTGAATGCTTTCTCTCTAAAAAAGGAACAAGGCAAGGAGGTCCCCAATCATCACTCATTTAACTAACACCATACTGGTACAATCAAGCAAAAAATAGAAATAAAAGGCATTCAGATTGGAAAAGAAAGAAAGCAGATCTTATTCACAGTCAACAAGCTGTCTATGTAGAAATTCTCTAAGCATCCACAAAAGAGCTCCTGTAACTAATATGTGACTTCACAATGTCATAGGATACAAGGTGAATATACAAAAGTCAATGCTTTTCATATATTCATCTAGCAATGAACAAATGGAACCAAAAATTTTAAAAATATGTTTGTGATAGTTAAAAATATATGTTCAGGATACATACACCAATAATTACAAAATGCTAATATAAGAATCGGAAGTGAGCCTGAATCAATGGAGAAACGTACCATGCTAATAGATTAGAAGTTTCACCACAGTAGGGATGTCAGTTATCCACAAATGATCTACAGATTTTAATGTAATTTCCAATCAAGCATAGCATGATTTTTTGTAGAAACTGTAAAATTAATTCTAAAATTTCCATAGAAATACAAACAAATTAGGATAGCTAATACAATTCTAAAACAAAGTTGGGAAACCAGACTACCAAATTTTAAGACTTCCTATAAAGGTACAGCAACCTAGACAGTGTGGATTTGGCAGACAATCAGATAGGGTGGATGAGTGTGGTATGGCCACAGAACCATGGTTAACTGATTTTTGAACAAAATGCAAAGGCAAATCAAAGGAGGAAAGTCAATCTTTTCAACAAAAAGTATCAGCTACATGTCAAAAAATTAACCAGTATTAATCTCATGCTTACATAAAAACCAACTCAAAATGGATATAGACCTAAATGTAAATGAAAATTAACAAACATTTCTGCAACAAAAAAAAAAAGGAGAAAATCCTGTGATCTGGGTTGGGCAAAGATGTTTCAGGCATTTCTCAAAAGTTTGATTCATAGGAGAAAAATAAATTGGACTTCATCAAATTAGAAACTTTTGCCCTTGGAAAGACGCTATTCAGACAGTCTGAAAAGAGACTGGGAGAAAATACTTGCAATCAATATCTGACAAAGGACTTGTATTTATAATACATAACAAAACTCTTTAACAGTAAGGAAATAATTCACTTCAAAAACTGAACAGAGGACTTTAATACTTAACCATAAAGATATATAAATGGCAAATAAGCCCATGACAAATCCAGTATCAATATCCAATAAAGAAATGCAATTAAAACCATGATGATATATATATTACACCTCTATTAAAATGTCTAAAATGATAAACGAAGAGTTAGCAAGGATGCAGAGCAACTTAAATTCAACAATGCTGATAAGAATGCAAAAGGTTATGGCTACTTTGGAAATGGTTTGGCAGTTTCCTACTAAGTTAAAGACACAGGTACCATATGACCCAGTAATACCACTGCTGGGCACTTACCATAAAGGAGTAGATAAAAGAAGTGCAGTTCCTACAACAGTGGGAAAATTAGTATTGGTACAAGCAACAACACAGATGACTCTCAAAGGCATTTTGCTGAGTGAAAGAAGAGAGTATAAAGAGGTTACATAAAGTTTCCATTTACCTGGCACTATCAAAGGACAAAACTATACTGACAGGTAAGAGATCAGGGGCTGTCCAGAGTTAGGAGTGGGATAAGTGTACGCCATAAAAAGGTCAGTTTTATAATGTATTACTTTACAATGACAAAAAAATCATTCCCTGTCGCCAAGGTTTTTCCCTTTGTCTTTAATTCACCTGATGTTTACTTGCATGGATGGTGTAAGGAAAGTATCTAATTATATTTTCTCATGAGGATGACTTATTAACTCATTCTCTGCCCACTGAATTTTAATGCCACATTTGCTGTGCTTTTTCAATAAATGAATGGGTGTGTTTCTATGCTATTACATCTCCGGATCCACTTATCTATGTCTACATCAATACCACCTGCCTCAACAGCTACAGCTATA